ATCAGTGCCAGTCCCATCCCCACAACAACCCTTACTACCTCTCAGAAGTGCTATTCATTCTTAAAACAATGCTTTGGTTCTTGGCCATTGGGCCTCATCATTGGCATTGGCCCTTGCCCTCTTCTTCTGCAGCTTGGCCTCTTTAGCCTCCTTGCTCTTCTTGTAGGTTGCAGCAATCTGGTCCTGGGTGAAATAGTTGTGCTCCCACCCATCAACATTGTCCTGCAGCCCAAACAGGCCAGCAGATGAGCAAGAGCAAAGGTCATCGCCCATCACATTGAGGAACAAAGGAGGGAGAGCCTTGTGCAGTGCCACCTTGCAAGTCCTTGGTTGTGAGGTTGTGAGGAAGGGGCTGTAAGGTTGTGAGGTTGCCTAGCCATACTTAGCCACCTACTCCTACTCTACATGCAAAAGTTCCAGTAATTGTACCTAGTTTCTTGCCACACCTCAGGCACCAACAGCATGAAGCACACCTGTGCTGTTCATATGGCTTCATCACATGCAGTGCCTCCTGGAAGTGAATGCATCCTGCTGGCATCAGTGAACTTGCAGGAAGGCACCAGCATCTCACTGACTCAGCCTTGTCAAACTCTGGGCCCCATGCCACTTGGTGGGACAGCATCATGTGCTTCAGCACTGTGTACTCACATGAGTTCACCTCCACCACCTGCCCAGGCTGCCATGCTGCCTCATGAAAGTTCTTGGCAAGCAAATCCCTGGATGCCCTGCCACCACCTTTCTTGCCAAAGGTCTGAATCACCTTCTGGCAGTTTGCCTGCATCTTCTTCCCATCATTTTTCATCCAGACTTGCAGCATATGCTTCTCATGGCTGGTCATGCAGGCATTGCGCATTCTGGCCTCCATTTCCACACCCATGAGAAGCCTCATCTCATCTGGCTGGCCAGGGCCAACATATGGCAGAGGCTTGGAAAGCTTCCTTTGGTCTGGCAAGCTCTTAGACCATGCTGGAAGCAAAGGGAAAGGGTGCACCCTGGAGGGAGGAGGATGGTCAGGTGGTATTGAAGGCTTGTCATCGCCAGTTCCATCAGCATCAGTTTTACCATTGTCAATCTCCATATCATCCTTGTCATTGATGACCCTCTCAGCTGCCATGTGTGGACTCTCTCCACCTCCACCATCTCCATGCCAAGCAGCCCCATGCTGCCAGGAGGAACTGGATCCAGATCCATGCCACCAACCATCATCATTATTGGAGTGCCACCAGCCATCATCATGTCCATTCCAGGTCCTGGGGCATGTCATGAGTCTGGGCATGTCATGAGTCTGAGTTTCCATGCTGGTCCAGTCAGTGTGTTGCTTATCCCCAAAGTCACTCTATTCACTCTTCATTTCACTGTTTGCAAATCAGCCAGTCAGCCTCTGTCCATGCCAGTCAGCCTGGATTCTCCAGGACCACGCCATTGTAATTGTAAGGACCTTGGTATTCACTCCCAGGTTTGGGCTCCTCCAGCTTTGTTTGGTATTCCTTAGTCCTTCTTGGCTGTTATGGATGTTTCTGTGTAATTATCTAGCTATTCTGTGTAATTATTTAGCTATTCCTTCCCAGTTTTGGTCTCTTGTGGTTCCCTTTCTAATGTGGTCATTGCCTTTTCTAATCTGTTCCTTGCCTTTCTAATGTGTTCCTTGCTTTTCTATGTTTTTCCTTGCTTTTCTAAACTTTTCCTGTTTTTGGGGATTGCCTGTGTGCTAAAAATATTAGTTTACTAAATTTGCTATTGCAAACAAAACTCTGCCCATTTTTTTCACAGCCCTTTGTGTTTGCTGGTGGTTTTCATATGTTTTGGTTTCCCACTTTGGGGCCACCCCCCCCCTCACACTCTTTGGGCACACTTATGTATCCCATGAGTTTTAACAATAAACACCACACAGTCAATATTTTGCTGGTATACCAATGCCTTTTTGTAGGTTTATAATTGTTGCTGCACAACTGCACAGCTGCCAACAATACCCAAGCATATATACCCAAGCATGTCAACAATATATTTATATTTCTCATGTCAACATTTTTTTTGAACCAAACAGGTCAACAACATAGACACCAGCAGCACATTCCAGCCCACACCCACTGAATCCATGCCAAGGAGCAGCCTTTCAGGTGCACAACAGCAGAGCTTTGGTTTGCTGGCTGCTACCAATGAACCACACTCTTCAGCACACACCACCCCCCAACATCACAGGCCAGCTTCCATCAACAATGAAATATACATACATGTTTGATTACTTACATTTATGATTGCATTTCTGTAGCAGGAGTTACCTGAAGAACAGACATGTATTCAACTTACTTGCAGGTTTGGTTTCTGTTTACTTACACATCTGACAGCAAGAGCTAACTGAAGAACATTAATGCACAGAATCAAAACAGAGTTCCTGAAAGACTGCAAACAATCACATAACACTTTATGCTTGTCTGGTGCAGCATTCCTGAAGCACATATTTTCTCTGTCAAGGCCTTGCTACCTGGGCCCTGTGGCATCCAGCATTTGAGATTGAACCAGTGGTAGCACACACTGGAGTGACATTACTGCTGAGCCACCAGACACTGCTAAGCACACCAAAATCAAACAATTGCTTACTGAAGGGCCCCTGGATGGTTTTCACAGCTACATTATTGGCTGATTGGAATATCTTCATGGCATATCTTATTTTAAACCAATAGGAACAATATGGTTTTTGTCATTCACTTGAAGTGGCAGGGACCCCATTGGAAGCAATCAACCCTTCACTAGAATAAGGCTGGCTGATACAACCTTGGCTTTCCTGTGAGCCTGGTCCTTCAGCCTAGGCCACAACACCATTCACCATCATGCCTGGCTCCCCCCAAGCCAAGCCCCACCATCATAATTATGATGCACCACCAGTAGCTGCCTTCTTTGCCTCAAGTTGGCAGGTGCTCACTGTCAACCCCAAGCACCCCCACACCAACCTTGCATGAATGGCTCTTTTACATAATGTATACCTCACAAACTCTTCTTGGCACTTTCAACACATTGACCCAGGTGCATGTCATCCATGCCAGCCAAGCTGCCTTCTGTCTTAACTCCTTAGCCTTCTCCAAGGCATCAAAATGGGTTCCTTGCCAAGCAGGCAGGCAAAATGAGTTGAGTCCCATGTGAGTAGAAGGTTAATTCAGCTTAGTCAAGGTTCCCACTTCCATCCTGGTCATAGACTTCTGTTCCTCCCTCAACTTTTGTGGTGTAGATTGGGTGGTTTGGCTGTCATTTTCTGGTTCATCAAACACTGGCTGTGTGCCATCTCCTGGCTCATCATCAGCACTCCCTGGTTGTACTGGTGTAAAGCCAGCTTCTGCCTCATGCTGGGTTTGTTGCAATGCTGTTGCTGTTGCTTGAGCTGTCAGCTCTGCTTGTGCTTGTGCTTGTGCCACAGCTATTGCTTGTGCTTGGGCCCTCAGCTCTGCATCCTGCTGGGCTTGTGCCAAAGCTGCTGCTTCTTCTTGAGCTTTCAGCTCTGCTTGTGCTTGTGCTAAGGCTGCTGCATCAGCTTGAGCCCTTAGCTCTGCCTCATGCTGGGCTTGTTGCAAGGCTGCTGCCTCATGTTGAGCTTTCAGCTCTGCTTGGGCTTGTGCCACAGCTATTGCTTGTGCTTGGGCCCTCAGCTCTGCATCCTGCTGGGCTTGTGCCAAAGCTGCTGCTTCTTCTTGAGCTTTCAGCTTTGCTTTTGCTTGTGCCACAGCCTCCTGTTGAGCCTTTGCCAATGCTGATGCACCAGCTTGAGCTGTCAGCTCTGACTGTGCTTTTGCCCATGCTGCTGCCTTTGCTTGGGCCTGGGCTTGTGCCCCAGCTTTGGCTTTAAGCTCTGCATGGGCTTTTGCCACAGCTGCTGCTTGTGCTTGAGCTTGTAGCCCTGCCCCATGCTGTGCTTGGGTTTTTACCAAAGCTGCTGCTGCTTCAGATTGAGCTTTCAGCTCTGCTTGTGCTTGTGCCAAGGCTGTTGCTTGTGCCCCCTTTTGTGCCTGTACTTGTGCCAATGCTGATGCTTGTGATTGGGCTTTCAGCTGTGCTTGTGCCACTGCCAAAGCTGCTGCTGCTTCAGCAGCTTGTGTTTGGGCCAAGGTGTTGGCCTGGCTTGCCTGTTCAGCAGCTTGTTGCTGTGCTAGAAGTTGTTGTGCATGTTCCTGCACTTGCTGGGCATTGAGTGCCAATGATGATGGCTGGCCTGAGGGTTGCTTTGCCTGTGCCACTACCACTGGGCCATGAGGTGCTGGTTGTTTGGCAACCAGTGGAAGAGGGACCTGGACTTTCTTTGGCCAATTCAATGCAGCACTGTAGAGGGTGTTGACCATAGGCACCTTGTTTCACATGACATGGTTCATTGTCACTCAGAACCTTGGTTTCCCCACTGACTGCACTGAATCTGAATACTGCAATTGATAATTGATCACTTCTTCAATGTTTGGCCACCTGGCCCCTTAATTAATGACATGATCTGTTGAACATCAAACAACAAAAGCACCTTCTGTCCCTTCTTCTCAGGCATGTCTTGGCCAAGTACCAAGGTAGCAGAGGAGTCCTCAGCTTCACAGTTAGTCTGGGACACAAACACAGCTCTTTTATAGTTATTCTATTCATTGATGGACCTTGGGTGGCTTTAGGTTTCACTTACATTACACACCACTTTAGATGCACTTAAATGATTCTGGATACTACTGATGCCACAGATTGCAGCCTGGCAGCAGAGTGGGATGCTGCTGATGATCCTTCCTCTCTTGCCACTGGGTACAATACAGGCACCAAGACATCAGCAGGTGGAGGAATTGCTCCTGCCACATTTCATTTGGAGAAGAGTGTATCGACTGTGAGATCCACTGTAGCAGTGAACCCCTACACAACCAAATGCCACTAATAAAACATAATATCAATAACATAACACATCATGTGGCACCCCCTGTTTTGTGATCTATTAATTTATGCTGGGTTGGTTTAATATGTGCTGTCCCATGCTGACCACCTGCCTGGACTGGGCTGCTGCTTGACCAAGTTCACCACCTGCTCTTTTTGCCAATGTGTGCCTGGTGTGCCTCAGCCCAGCTGCTAAATCAACCAGTCAGTTATAGGCTTTTGGAACACTATGAGGGTTCATCCCAGCACATGGCACAACTAAGTAAGGCCCAGCCCCAGTGAGCAGCCAGCTACTTGCCTTTGACTCCATGTCTTCTAATAAGATCTAGTGCAATCAGCCACACAGATGTTGACTGACTTACACTTAGAATCATGATAATTGGGCCTGCGCAGCAACAAACACATCACCTGTGCTGTAAGCCAAGCTTCCCAACATCTCCATGACATAGTTGGTGGCCCAGGTCTGCATGCCATTCATCTGCACTGCAACTTCTGCCTGGCTGTGCCATGCTGCTCTTGAATTGTGTTTGGTCATTGTGGGTGAGGCATGGTGTCAATCCATCCTGCAGGTAGTTTGCACCCTGTTATTGTGTTATATTATAATTGCTTAAGAACAACTAATTAATTGAATATTGCAACCCAAGGCTCAACTTTTGCCCACCACTGCTGAATCCCATCAATGTGGTCAAAGATGCTGTCCAGGGTCATAGTGATCCTTGGCTATTGCTTGTCTTGAGTTTGCAAGAGCACCAGCACTTCCCAACCAGGCCAACCAAGAGTCTCAGCTGTGAGGGGTGTCTCAGCCATTCTGATCATGTGGACCTTCTGCCTGTAGATGATGTCCACTGGGCTTGACCCAGGAGCAAGCACCTGCTTCACCCCCCTCTCTCTGTGTTCCACCAGGAGCTCACCATTGGGCCTCAAGCAGTAATGAGTGGAAAAGTAAATGAGTCACTGGATGGACAGCTGACTCAAACAGAATGCAACTCAAACAACAAATGGCTCCAATTGAACCTACCCTGGCTCACTTATAATGATGATTAATTAATGTTTGGCCACTTGGTGTGCTTCAGCCTGACACCCCACTTAACATGTCAGAAGCAAGCAACCCTTTCCAATAGCTGTACTTCAAGGTAGACACAGATGCTGGTGGCTGCTCATCTTGCTGCATTGTCTCATTCCTGGGAAAGGAAGCTGTCACATGAATTCAGGTCAACCCTTCTGAGAAACTAGGGGCCCCCCAACACCCAAGCCCTCTCATTGATTTACTTCAATTAGTTTTCCTCATTGGCATCAGTGAGCTACTCACTCTCAGCTCCAATTCATATTCACACACTAATATTGTTAGCCAAATGGCTTCCCTTGCGCCTGCCCCTTTGGAGGCTTCTTGAAGATGTTGTACCACCCAAGCTGTGCACTGTAGCTCTCCAAGTTGCTAAAGTCAGCCTCAGCCCCAGGTCAGATCTGTATTCACTTCAGTGCCTACTTATACATCTCATTCTTTTCAACATAATGCAGCAATGCACATGGCACTTCAACAACAACTTCAGGTGCATGCCACTACCATACAATAAACATAAATTAAATTAAGCCCAGGCAACATCCAGCTGGCCCACTCTCTCTCCATTTGTTTGCTTCTGCAATCTCTGGTAGCATTCCACTGCCCTGTCACACCTGAGCAGTTGTCAGAACACCTTTCCTCTTGAATAAGAACTGCATGCAGGTGTCCTAGGTTTACTACAAAATACAAGGAAGGGTTCTATTTTCACAATTTATGCTTTGTTACTTGTCTATGTCAAGCTTGCAGGATTGGCAGTTCAGTTAGCTGAGGTGAACCTGGTGAGAATGAGAACCTGAGGTGGCACTAGTTAGTGAGTGAGTGTGGACATGATTCAACCCAAGCTGCAGGCTCTTCTTGTTCTCCACAATGAGGTCTTTCACATGTATCTTTGGAGACAGGCCAGTGCAAACAAAGTACAGCTGCTCTAGCTGGAGCTCAGAGAGTGTTGACAGTGAGCCTCAGATGCCATCATCAATCATTACATTGCTCACACCTTAACAAACCACACTCACCTTTAATACACTGGTGTACTGTGCAGTTGTATTGAGTACTTAAGTTGCTTCACACCTACTTTTTATTAAGCTAAAACATTTAAAATGTGGATCATCACTCATTACTCCCCATATCAGTTTCATGATGCCTTTGTTATGCTCAGTCTGGGTGACAAATAAATGATCAGCCAAGATTCTAGGAGCAAACTTGTCCTCATCCATCTTCATAAGGTGCAGTACTTTCTCTTGGCGATTGACACAGTTCTTTCCTGATTCACTGAAAACTGGGCAGCAATGATCAGTCACTGAAAATGCACCCCTCTACTGTTGAGACCTCCAACACATATCTTGGCACTGCCAGGCTAACCCACAATGATCCTGGTCAATCAGCCATATAATAGTTAGTTACTGAATCACTAGTTAACAGACACTCACTCAGAAATCATCATTAAATTAAGCGCTGTGACTATTCTATTAAGTTGAGAACCCCAATGATCCAACACATAACTTGGCCAGGTTACTGACTGGTTAATCAATACTTACCAAACCAATAATAACACCCTTTTAGCTGCCTCTCTCAGCCTCTGAATGGTCACAAATGATCTGTTCACTCTAAATCAGCCTGGGCTCTTTGCAAAGCCCTGGACCCTTGATCAGAAAATTCAGGTCCAAGATGGCACCAGTGCCTCAATGCAGTGTCAACTGAATGAATGGTTGATGGTCCTACAATCAAATAAATATCCATGTCCACCATGTTCACAACACTCTCAGTCATACCTGACCTTGCCTGCTTTAATTAACCATATTGATTGATTGCACTCCTTTGCATAACAAAGCACCCCACATTGACAGGCTACAAGCTAATCAGTAGTTCAAGGTCTTGACACCCCCTCTAACTCTACCATTTCACATGTTCAATGGTTAAATCAAAGGCCATGTTGCTGGGGGATGTTGTCACCATCTGACTCATCCTCCCTCTTGTCCTTCTTCTCCTTCTTTCTGGCCCTCTTGCTTTTGGAGCTCTTCCTCCTGAGTGGCAAAACATAGGCCTGACTTTTCTTTTACTTCAAAGGCTGCCATGTCCTGCTACTGACTGCCACACACAAGCCACCCAAAGGATTGAATTTTAGGACAGCAGGCTCACTTCATAATAATAAGCTTCACACTTTAAGCACTAGTTTCACAGTTGGGTACTGGGTTAGCAGTGCAACCCTGCCCAGACTTTGTTTAATTTAAGCCTAGGCTCTCATCTTCTTCCTCATCATCATAGCTGCTGCTGCTTGATGAGATCATGGCCCTCTTGCTTCTTCTACTCCTCAATGCATTCTTGCTTTCCACAAAGCCTGCAATCTGTTCCATCCTGAGGCAGCACACAAAGTCACAGTTACCCATACTACATACTCAACACACACTCAACCACACATACCCCCCCCCCCCCCCAACCATCCAGCAAGCAATTCAATTCATCACAAAGGACCTAAGGAAGGTTCACAGCCACTGTACTGGATGGAAGTCCTGAAGTGTCCTTCAAACAAATAGTCTATTCATCATTGAAGTCCTCAGACTTACATCAAACATACCATAACTAAGAACCACTCTCCTGCACCAAGTCTCCACTCTGGCAAGTGCTTTCTGCCTGGTGTCTTCCTTGTCTTTCTACCAGGCATGGCTGAAGGTGCAATGAGATGGTGGGCAAGAAGAAGAGACCCATTGGACATAATTAAGACATGCCATGTAATGTAGTAAATCACATGCCTTAGCACTACACTCTTCAGATCATCAATCTAACTGTGTCATGGTGGGCCTATGTTTGAGCAAATCAGTGGCAACAAGGCGAAGCAGGCACCTGATTAATGCAAAGAAACCTTGAGATCTGATCCCTGGAAAAGGTTAGAAACCAGCAGTGGAAAAGTTCAGAAATTCTTAGAACATTTTTGTGGAGAACCTCAGTTAAAGAAGGCCCCTTTTAAAGCAGCCTCACAAGTTATCGCAAGATCATATTTACTGACGGTATTCGGTGCATGAGTCACTCATGCCGGTGATCCAGATCACCAGCCTCCAATCCCTTCGTTTTTTGAATGCGGGGTAGCCTGCCCGCCACTCCTCGCGTCAGGTGGTTCTACTTGAAACGATGGAAACCACAGGCCAACGCCGTCCACGTCGCGCCGCCGCGACCAACGAGCACATGCGAAACGCCCCGTCCCACGTGGGCGACGCGGGGCCTGCGTGATGCAGAGAGAGTCTTCAGCGCTGGATACCTCGAGCCGGGTCCAGGACGAGTGACGTCTGAAACCAGGAAAGGCCTTCATGTGACCAGGTGACCGGTCTTCCCAAAAGGTGCACACGGGAAATCAATAAAGATTGATTCTTTCTACAAACCATATCCCTTTCATTCCCTTTCTACCAGCGGTTCACCTTCATCGGAGATTGATGCATTGCTGATACGATGGGAGAGTGGTTTGTTCCCTGTATGGGTTGTGGATCATTGGGAATCATTACTACTATATACATACTACATCATACTACCATCAAGACACGCGGCTTTACTTCGATGAACAGCAAGCACCGAGCTTTTAGAAGCAAGCTGTTGAAGGCGGAAGACTTGTCGATCCCATGGATGTCCCTCATGAAGGGAGCCTCAACCAATTGGTGTCATGATTTCACTGTGCCGGTGGTGTTTGATAGTATTTGAGCGACCGGCAAAACTAGGGGTCGTTTGGTGGTACGTTTAGAGCATGGTATCGTTTTTGGGATTGGTATCGTTTTTTCAACCCATATGCAATTTTTTTTTGGGAGGTATCGTCTAAATGTAATTTGCTCTGGAAGGTGATCTTGCAAATGATGACTAGTAGTCGTCGTGTACTAGTACTAGTACTACGTACTGACTAGCAGTAGTAGTAGTAGTAGTAGTAGCAGTAGCAGTAGTAGTAGTAGTCGTCGTCATCGTCGTCACAGTAGTAGTAGTAGTAGTAGTAGTAGCAGAAATAGAAGTAGTGGCATGTGAGTGGGCAGGTGGTGTCTGAGGGGATACAGACCTATGAAGTGGGTATCGTTTGGTATCGTTTTTGGTATCGGTCTGAAACCATAATTGTTTCCCATCAAAGAAAAAGAAGGGAAAATTAGCAACAATGAACTGGAATGTCCAGCTAGCATGGCAAACCATATGCAAAAAAACCTTGGACATACACTGTCTCGAGTGTCAACATTGTCAACAGGCAAAGATAGATTCCAAGATGTGTACCGTCACAAGGCTAGGTATCGTTTTTGGGATTGGTATCGTTTTTTCAAGGAACATGCAAATTGCTCATTTTTGAAGAAACGTGAGCGCCGACCTTTAGCACTTTGCTCATTTGGATGTGTGTATTTGGAGGTTCTCGTTTCATGTAGGGCACCCAGGCAGAGGTGCTGAAAGCAAAACACATTTTTTATTATCCTTGTAATCTACCGTACACGGTTACTGGGCCGTACACGGTGTGTAAGGCACCCCGGCCCCGGCTGGATTTCCCCACTGGGGTCCGTCTTTCGGTCCTCCACTGCAAGTTGAACGCATCGGGCTCTCTTGAAGAGGAAAGCCATCCAATGCCCGGATCGATTTCTCAAAGAAACATGCCCGGATCGCTTGCTGAACAAGAGACTGCTGGAGGTCAGGCGAACGGAAAAACGAGGAGACCATTGACTTCTAAGACTCCTGGCAGCCATTTAAGAAGCTAGAAAGCCTGTACATCTGGATGTAAAAGCCTGGATGGCAACCAGTGAAGCACATCTCCTGAACATATTTTCGGAGTGAAAATTGCTGAGCTTTGGCTGCTTGAATCCGAACCGCCAAACCACCTCAACCTCCTGAACTTGATGACGATCTAACGACGATGACGACGATGACAACTAGAACAATCGCCACGACGATCGCCCACTTTGGGAGCCTGGGAACCCGCTCCAGTCTCCCCGCTGCGAACCAGCCACTCCCACTCTGGAAGAACGAAATGATCGCAGACGAACTGCTGGGCAAAGCTTGCTGCGAGTGGTGAGGGTTCAAGAACGTTTGCCGTGCCATGCTGATGGATTCTGGCAACCGCGCTGAGGTCGTGGGCAAATCGGGCGTTGTGTTTCACGGAATGCCGGGTATCAACCCAAGCTGTGAACTTTTGGAATTTGTTTGGTTCGGAGTTGGGCAAACGATAGAGGATGCTCAACAAATGCATCTGAGCGACCTTGCTCTTGCGGTGTTCGAGTCCAGGCCATTCCTTTGTGACCGAGTTGGGAAAGATGTAGGTGACCTCTTCGTCCTCTGATGTTTCTTCTTAATACCCCATGGGTCTCTTGTATGAAGCGTAGCCTGCCAGCCTGTACCAACTTGAACTGCTTCACCGACGGACTTCCAATAGATAGACGCAAGTCTTGGGGCAATTCGGACACCAGATCCTGATGCAAGGAATGCAGCAACGAAAATTCCAGCAATTGCAGCATGCCCACTCACTGGCACGTTCACGTTCCCGTCTAGTATCAAAGCTCTTGGTCTTTCTCGAGGGGTTCCTCATGTCCGTATGTGCCAGCAGGATGCTGCTCTCAACTTCCAAAACGATGGTTCGGTGCAGCGTGCGGTATGTGGATGAATACTCCGCAGCGGCTGTCTCAAAGGACTTTGAGAAGCTTGACCCACTGAAAACCCCCTTGGTGTTCTGCGATTCCTGGTCGACAAAGGTGTCTTCATTCGCATCAAACTCATGTTGCTGCTCTTGGAAGATGAAGTGCAAGCGATGCCTGGGGCCATCATCGCTCGCAAGCCGGCTGAGGATTAGCAGCCCCTTACCTCCCTCCACAACTGGTCTCGCCACTGACTTGAGGCATGCCGTTAAAGGCACGGCAATGGAGCTCCGAAATCAGGGTTTCTCCGTCCATCATCAACGCCTCAACCCATCCACGTGCCCACACTTCGTCAAGATCTTCCCTGCCATGAAGGAGACTTTGTAGTTTCCTTCGGCATTCTTCGTCCACACAAATGACACGCTCCACCTGTTCTTCTTTGGCCACTCCCCCACGTCCAAAGCAACGTCAGCAAAGTGCTTGAGCAAAACCTCAATCTCAGTGCGTGTAATCTTTGGCGGTTCATCTCACATCGATCATCTCTGGGCCAAGTAGTGAGGAAAGAAAATAAAAATAGAATGAAAAAGAACTCACAGATCCTCTCGCAAAAAGGGCCATTCAGGACCCGGTGACGGTGGCCCTTTGTGTAAAAACCTCCGGTTCACAAGAGTGGCGTTTTGGAGTGGAACACACGATGATGCGTTTGGGTTCTGTTTGGACAGCACATCCTCAGGATGAGCTTCCTGCAGATTGAAAACATCGAAATGTTTGTTGATGAAATCTCCAAGGATGCTCAAGTCAAAGATCTCGGAAAGATACACACAAATTGAGCAGGTGCCAAAGCTTCTGGTAGGATCTGGTAGGTGGGTATGGCATGGGTATGTGAAAATTCCTTCCCAGGATCCTCCCGAAAACACCCCCACTTCACAGAGACGGAATTGCCCTTTCAAACTTTCACCAGAAAACCTGCTCCCCCAAACCTGCGGGGGCCCAGAACAAAAAGGACCAAGCCCGGTGAGGGAGACCCATCCGTGAGCGGACTGGGGCTCTCACTGATCCATCGACGCCCGGAAGGCGTCGTTTCCTCCGACCTGAGCACGACGAGCCAGAGTCCGATCAAAGTCATGACACCATGGACTCCAAAACTCCAAAAGCAGAGCGTTTTGGAAGACCATGACTTGTTTTGTTTTGTGTGTTCTTTTTTCGCACTTTGGCCACAAGCTCACAGGGGGATAACCCGACACCTCTGCGCGGGTACAGCTTGGTCTGCTCTTCAGTTCAGATCTTGGTCTCAGGTGTCCCAAATATACACTTCTCTTCGACAAAGGAAAGGTCAGGATCGACATTCATACCAAACTGGAGAAGTCAGGTCCCTGTGTTTTGTGATTCACAAAGACATAAATTAACAGAGACAGAATAGAAATTGAAGCTGCATGATGGACAAACACCCCTAGAGAGCTGAATGTCTTTCAAAATAAAGGTAGCCTACTAAGCGACTAGGCAACAAAAGAAACAAGGGAAAAGCATTGAAAAGACATTGCAAAGAGATATCCAAAGTCTATCCAACGCATCCCTGGTTCCAAGATGAATCATGATTCCACCTCGGGTCCGTCTCACCAGGCACCCCAGCGGTCATGTACTTTAACTCTGTCTTGGTCCAACCCCAGCCATCATTCAGCTGCCTGAAGAACGGTCCCGACAGGGCGGACACCAACGGACGGGGGGAAGCGGTCCGTGGTTTGGCCCAAACACGCGATATCTGATGTGCTTCTCAACCATGTAATTGCTTTCTGCCTCTTGGTGTGTGACGAAAAGTAGACTTTCATGCGTGTAGAATGTCGTCATGTAGACTTTCTTGGTTTGTTCGGATCTTCAGAAACGAAGCTGATGGCTCTTCGACAACCTCAAAGCGTGAGATGGTGGATGTTGCAGACAATTGACACCATGTGCCCCACCCCAGTAGATGCCCCAAACAAACATCCCCTGTCACAAACATCTTCAGATTCTTTAATCCATTTGAACCACCTCTTGAATCCACATACAGTACTCATCAGTACTCTGTTTTCAACTTTTCGTCAAAGGCCTTTTCCCCGTCGAGTCGAGCAGAAACGTCGACCAACCCGAGGTGCCCACCCGCCTGACCAGGCTTCGTGACGGACCCATCCGCACGTGTTCCTGCACGTGGCGCTGGGAGATCCAACGGAACGGCCCTGTTGTTCGTCACCCCAAAGGGTCCACAGAATCTTGGACACCTTGCGACTCATGGTGGTATTCATGATGGTATTCATGGTGGCTATCATCCAACTATACCAGGGCCTGGCTAAGGGGTGGGGTCATGGACACCCCGAATCACGGCTAAGGGGCTATAAATAGACACCCCTGGTAGAAGGCTATCTATAAAAATGATCAACCAATTTCTGTCCACCCCTATTCTCCATCGTCGTCGTCTTCGGGTCTCAGCTCCTCTGCACAGCGGGCGCAAAGGTAGGTCCCAAAGGACACCGAAGCCCTGGATTTCTTCGCCATGCGCGCTCGCGCGCGCGTCGAGGGTTCATGGGAGGTTCATGCGCGTCGAGGGAAGTCTATGCCCACAATACTGGAGTGCGGGGAATCTGGATCTGGGAATCATTTGGGGGAGGTTCTTCAGAGTAATCGTAGGACCAAAGCCCTTGGGTGGACCTTCCAGACGTCTTCCTATTTGAGACGCGGACCCCCGGCTATACCAAGCCCGCGACCCCCCCGCACAGAGTCAATGCACGCGCGCGTGGAGTGAGTCGTTTCGCGCGCGAATGAGTGCTCACGCAGATCTCGCCCGGTCAGGGAGCCCCAAAGAAAAGGCACTTCGAAGACGAATTGGATGATCATGCATGGTCTTAGACTCTGTCTTAGACATGATTCAGGTCCTCAATGAACTCTTCGATCGGGGCGAAAATCGGCAAACGCCCATAGAGTAAAAAAGGACATTGAGCCAAGTGTCTTGTGGCAGCTAATGGCTCTGAAAGAAAAGGATTGCCATGAACAAACAGCTGATGGAAGACTCTAAAGCGATGCTGCGTGGGCGGCGACGTCACCCGGGCCACCCGGCCATTCGGTCTCCGCGGAGTCACAATCCACACAGCGGCGATCCTGGGGCGGCCGCTTTTTTAAGGACGGCGCGGTGGACGCGGTGGACGCGGTGTAAGGAGGTCGGGAGGGGGGTGGTTTTGGGGAGTGGACAGAGTGTGTTTGAACATGTTTTGAAAGGTGGTTGGTTTGCTGTGTCTTCTGGTTGCTGGGATGCAAAGTGGTCAGAAAAAATGGTAACCATTGTGAGGAGAGACTGCATGATACTACATGATATCACGGAAAATTGCCCGTTCACTGCTGTTCACCCCAATGGACGTGGCATGATACGACATGATGAGTTAGTGAAGGGATTGGCGCTTGGTGCCGCAGGGTAGAGGGCCTTAGAGTCGAAGAGATTTCGTGGAACACGAATCCCTTCGACATGGGTTCAGTGTGGTTGCTGGGAAGTCTGCCTGGCTCCGTGAAAAAAACCTTCAGTCTTGAGTGGATATCTGAGGACTCCCAAAGCCAACAGTGACCTGCAGACCAATAAGTCATCCCCCAACCATTAGGGAGTAGGTCCTTCTGTAGTCGCAAAGCACAGCCAACACATGTCAAAACCTTCGGGGATGATTGCTCAAATGTCAGAAAGCAAATATTGTCCAATGTCGAACACATGTTTTTTCATGCTTCTCAAGTGGCACTCCACTCCTATTCCCTTCACCGATTGGTGTTTGCCTTACATCCCGCTGCTTCTGACAGGGCGCCTGCTGTGGTCGGTCCCGGAACGTGGCAAAAGCCTAGTGGCTTCGGCCAAGTCGCTGGCTGGTGATTGGCAAGCTTAACCCACAAGGCTGATAGGAATCAGAGATCTCTCGCGTCCCGCGAACTTCGACCTGTTGCTTAAGAAGATGATGAGATGGTCCGTTCCTGTTGATCAAACGAAGGAAAAGGAACATGGTCTATCCAGAGCTACCCAACAAGGCCACTGTTGGGCCCATTTTGTGAGGACATGGTACGCTATTGTGTACCGCCTTTATGGTTGTTGATCATTGCCATCAAGTTTGGGGGGTTGACTTTCTGTCGCGATGGAACCAGGGGCCATGTTCTGGTCTAAAAGACAGCTTTGAGGTGACCCAGTGGGAACAAGTATATAACTCGACATCACACGCTGCAAGTGATGGAGAAAACGATGACCTCTCAGTCGCAACGAAGTCTTTTCCAACGAAAGACACCCAAAGGTTCCTGCGACGATCCGACCGGACCGGGGGACCGATCAGACCGATGATCCGGGCAATGGCAGATCCAGGATCAGTGTAGGCCCTTTGGCTGACTTGAGTCAGCCCAAAGTGCTGAAAATCAATTCTTGGCATCTTAGGCAATTCCCCCCCAAAAAAGAACGCCGACATAGACCCCAGATAGCAATTACAGCAACTCAAACGGAAGCACATCGTTTCCTCTTAGCTATCGCTATCTATCGCTATTGCTTTAAAAAAATGAAAAAAGACGCTGAAAAACGCTGTGTCTCACCTTTGAACCCTCCAACCCGAAACCGCAACCACCGGTTGTTTGGGACGGGGGGGCCCTGGGCCCCCGCGCCATCGCCACATCCGGCGCCAAAGCGTCAAATTCCACGTCCGCCTGGGGCGGTTTGGAACTGAACCGACTGAACCATCGGCCCCAGTCCGTTGAGGATGGATGGGGAAACTGAACTCCTGGTGAAGGGGTTCCCATCTTGGAGGTAGCATCTATAAGGGGTGTGTTTGTGTTGCTTGTCTGCACCTAGTTGTGTGTGTATTGTGATAGGAGACCCAGACCCCAACCGGGCTTTCATCGATTTCCCTTCTTGGTCGGGACGCCTGGGAGGTCTCCCCTATTTCACACCCAGTTTCTGATCCCACCTGAACTGAACTGAACCGTTCCCCCGAACTGAGGCCCTGAGGCCCTTGCGGTTTGCACGATCCGGTGAAGCGTGTCGTCTCCACCAATTCCGCTGATGGTCCTGATCGGACGTTCCTGATCGGGCCGGCTGGAGGCAGACGTTGGGAAGCTCAAAGAAGGTCTGAGAAGCCTGAACACCAAAACAGTTTAGGAAAAAGAGACATGGCTCATCGTGGCTCCAAGGAATACAACGCTGAAGGCAGAGTCCACAGGCTCAATGAAGCCATCTTGAAAAATATGTCGAACATGTTGTTGGAAGAGAAAAGCCCCTGGTGTCACTGGTGTCCATGCTGCGAGCTGTTTGCTTTTCAGAATCTGAGACTCCCCCTCTCAAAGGCTCAAGAAAAGAAATGGGTCAGCTAATCAGTATAAACGTTGGTTTCAGAGTAAATGGTACTCCCCTAAACGTCTTTTAGATCCCCCCAAAGGGGGATTGTGCCGTCTACTCTCCATCCACCATTTTACACTTAGAGATCGTCCGCAAGCTGGAACGATCTCCTCATGTCTGATGAGATCAGAATATAGATCGTCCCATGTTGGGTTTCAATCAGGTTGTGGCAATGGACCTTGCCGGTCACCGGTGGACACCAAATGTCGGCAATAGAAATGGTTGATTCCTTCCTCCCGGGTGGACATGTGAAGTGCTGGTTTTAAAGATTAAGATCAAGATCAACTACCTTAGATTCAACAGCAAACTGGACATCTAAGCAAGCGACCAAGAGAGACATCCCAACAAGATCTGACGCGGAGAATCTGTGAATTCGTCTGTTCACCTATGAACTCACTGTTTCACTCAGCTTGCTATATGTCACTTTTTGTCCTTCAGTGGTCAGTTGAAATGTCCTCTGTATTCGACAGAAACGAGTGTTGCAAGTGGTGTTGCCAGTTTGCTGCGACCCTCACCAAAGTCCGCTTGGAACACGGTGGCTGCAACCTCAATGATGTCCAGGTACAACTCCCAAGAAAGCAAGTGGATATTTACTAGATGTGCCCGAGAATAGTCCAGTGTAGAATAGTAGACATCTATATCATTCAGGGATCTAAAGCTGAGGGATCTACACCAATCGCATGGTTCACCCCATTCAGGCACCAGAAAAAAACTTCTTCTCTTCTTGACCACCTTGATGCCAGTATCTGCCAGCCAAAAGGCATTGCCATCCGCATTGGGACGGGGCCGGAGCCAGTTGACGACCACGAAGCCTCTCGATTGTCACCACTGATGCTCCGAGAAGGCAGTGAAAAAAACTGTGCAAATGCTATTTTTGTATAAAGAGACAGGGTGCCTGTGGCCACCGTTCTCCAATTAATATGATTGGTCCAATTCAGACTCTTTGACAACCGACAACCTCCATTCGCCGAAAAGAACGAACAAAGACACCAAGGGTAATTCAGGCTTTTCATGTGCGTGTGGCCCGAGCTTCCGTTGGGCAGCTCTTATTCGGAAGAAATTGCATGCAGCCGAGAAGGAAACTGAGAGAATCTGCTGTTTTCATGGGCACCACTTGCAATTGGGATGTTCGGTCGCACAGCGGAAATCTGACGTTCAAAGGCTCAACAAACAAATACAGTATATCTTTGTTTCAACTTGTCAACGATATCATTGCTTATTGTCTTCAATCAATCAAATATGTTCTTGCCTGCAGCTTCCACAGTCCCCAAAGTAGAGATCATCCCTTTGGTCCGCGATGCCTCCAGGGAGGACCGCGTGGATCGTTGCATCGTAGTAGTTTCCATCCTCGGAATCGGTCCAGACCGGTCGAAGGCCTTGAAATTGAACCCCTTCAGTCACCAGTGTTGTGAAAGATCTTCCGGGAGGCTCCCATTCACAGGTCTTCTTTCTGGCCTGAGGGTGGTTGGGGGGATCCCTCAGGTCAGCTAGCCCGGAAAACCCTCCGTCCTTGGGTTTCGTGACTCACACCAAGCCTCAGAGTCCGGAGGCCGGAAAGGTCCGGTTTTCCGAATATCTGGTCTGTTGCAAGGCTGCTTCGCATGCTCCGCATGCAAGGCTTGCCAGCAGCGCTTTTTGATCAGCGTTCTTGGGGTCAGCGAAGGGTCAACATCCATTCATTCTGACAGATGGACTGCGGCTGAGGGGTGAGTGCCAACGGATTCGCAACAGTTTCTGGCCACGGCAGCCACCTCAATGCCCAACGTCCACAAGAACACAACGTCCAAAATGATGTACCCAGAGTCTCAACTACCCGGATGCGTGGTCAACGTGATAGGGATTTTCCTGCTGGGAAGCATAATCAAGTATGATTTAGTAATACACGGTATTTATAATGTATCTGTCTGCTCCAGAACGGTTCGAGAAAAAGCGTTTCTATGCGTTTCTCGATATTGCACAGCTTCACCCTTTTTTCAGGTCCCCTCGAACAATTGAGACGCACCGTTCGCACCGTCCCTCATCCGGTTAGACCAGGTGAGACCGCAGGCTGGCGGTTTTTCTACTTCACAACCCAACTGGAATCGGAGCTAACACATGACAAGAAATGAATGTGGGGCAGAACAGAAGGAATCTCACGGAATCTCCCCCCAAACGTTTCTCAGGAAATGAAATAAGACGAGCAAGAAGGGATTCATTTCGCCCTCATCGAGAGCCTGAGCATGTTCTTGTCTACACCACAAGAACTGCACAGTGCGATCCTTGTCTACACCCACGGTCGCACGGCTCCAAGGGGGGGGCAGATTTGCTCCGATTCATGGTCAAGGCCTCAAAGATTCATGTCAAGTCACCTCCCAAATCCCCCGTCAAAGTCCGGAAATGAGGTTGACTTCTTTCCACACATAGGCCGACACAGGCTGACCGGCATTGACCTTCGTGAAAGGCCACCGACGTGACGGCCGACTCCACCCAGGTCACCCCGGCCATCCATCGTGCACGGCAACGGCTGCCGGAGCCTCCAGGTCACGGCGATTTGCTGAGAGAGAGAGAGAGAGATCTTTTGGTGTCAGGATAGAAAAAAGGGCATCGCGGCATCAGGGCACTGTGATGAAGCTGGACCAGTTGAAGACAAACCTGTGGGAAAATGGGAGATCGTGAGCTTTTGTGGGATATGTTGATATCCTTCTAGTGAGGTGGTGCGGGATGTCCTGAATCAGCCAGGAACAGCTAATATTTACAACTTGTCCAGGATTGTTACCCATCTGGTTGTTGATGACCATACCTCAACTGCTGGTCCATCAAGTCTGGCAGTCCCAAGTCCTCATGCAAAGGAGAACTTCCAGTCATGTTCCAGGCACAACATGTTGTAAATTGTTCATCGCCGACTAGTCCACAACTTCAGGGCTAAAGACTCAAGACCTTCCACTTACCTTGCTATATACTTCCAACTTAAACAAAATCGTGTTGACTGGTTTGTACCAAAGAAAGCCTGCAAATCCACAATAAATTTGAATGGTGTTGTCCGCTCATGGGCTGACCTCCATACCAGAATCCTTGACCCATCAGTTCTTGCTTCCGCTTCGTCCCAGCACTGCGCGCGCAGCGCGCACCACCTGCCAAGGCACAGAGTTCAGAGGGTGCCCGGCCATTCGTGGCCTCGCTGTCAAGGCCGACGACCTTCTGCACGCGCTCGCACAACTGCCTGGCGCACACATAGAAGAACGCGCCAGTGTCGCGGGCACGAGAGCCCCCTCCTCGGTTGGAAGAGGATTCTTCTTGCCAGCCCACACCTTCGAAAAGGTCTGTGGATTGCTGACCAAACACGTCTGACCAAGGACAGAACGGTCCGGATGTCAGAAGGAATAAAGCGGGTGTTGACCTGTTTTACTGTTTACACCATACCTTTTGGTTCAAAAGTGTTCTTTTGTGTGGCAGGTGCAACAAGGGCAAATGTCCACACTCGCTCAAGAACTCACTATAAAGGGCTTTCATGTGTGGAAATTCCATCACACGCGGTGTGTGTGTGTGTGTGCACATGATGCATGTAGAATCCTCAAGGTGAAAGGGTTTCTCATTAGCTACCAGTTAAAAGGCACAACTTTCTCTACCTCAGTGCACGACCTTTATTTACATGTCACTTCGGAAGCGGGTCTGGCTTTTTCCAGCCAGGGAATTGTAGAGGTCGAATATGCCAATCTGATATAGGTGTGTATGTTCAGCGAGTCTCAAAATGAGCTGATTGCCAAGCAAGCCAGACACCTTGATTCAATTAGAAAGCGAAAATCACCAAATAAGAACAGTGACTGGGCTCAAGTGCCTAAAGTGCACGGTTTCATGTCAGATACAGTACATTCATACAGCTTCATATCAAAAGGGAAAATACATCAACCCTGATCTGCTGCCAGGATTGACTCTTGGTTTCGCCCCCTTGGAACTTTGAACCCCCATTGCCAGGGCATGTCCGCAAGCACCTTCCGTCCCACCGCTCCCACCGCAGACCTGACTAAGCATCTAATTCAGGCCAAGCAGAAAAGCAATTGAGCAACTCCTTTGCCCCAAGAAAGGGCCACATCTGTTGTGTCCTCACATCGGTGTCACACAACTCCCACCGCGCTGTACTCGTGCAGTTTCAGTGCGTTGCCCAGACTATATAGTACTCCCCGACCCACGCGAAGGCTCGGTCGTTCTCCGAGAGGAAAACCGCGCGCGCCAAGTAAACCGGGCGGTGACCCGCCTGTTCTCGTGGGCCGCTTCCTGCAAGGCATCCATGGCCAGTCCCACGGCGCTCTCCGAGCCGCCGGGCGCCACGGCCAGGGCGGAGAGCCTCGCGCGAGCCCCGGCGCGCGCGCGACAGAGTGGGCGGTGAGGCTCAGCCCGACTCGGTGACCAGTCGTGGGGAGTGAAAACACCGTGGAGTTGGCAGGTCTGTCCCTCTCTTGGCAATCCAAAAAGAAGTTGAAGGACATATTCCTGGACATGCTATCTTGAATGAACTCCTGCATCCCTTCGGGAAATCCTTCAACTCGCATCAAGCTCCAAAACCCCACCCCTCAACGACCCCACCCGCGCCTCTCCGACTCGCTATTGAGGTGCCTGCGCAGCGCCAGCATCAGCTCGCTCCGCCTCCGAGTGGGTGGAGGTCGGACTGGTTGTGAATCTCCTGATCTCGGTCTCCGGTCAATTCAACTCACGTGATCGTGGCTGGAAGTTTGGATCAGTGGCTGGTTTTGTCGCCAAGGCTTCTGCGAGATCGGTTGCGGGTTGTTTTCAACGAGGGTCACTCCAACTTCTTTTCCTCAAAAATGGAAACTTGCAGTACTCATGGAAAAGGTAAAACGCCATTGGACGGATGTGCCGAAACTCCCCCTAACATGAGTTTACTTTAATTGGCAAAATTAACATCAAATAACAAAACTCTCACAAAGTGACACCAAATCCCACATTCACCACAGCCGGGCCGACCTCGACCCCTGGCGGACCGCGCCTCTGTTGCACCTGTGTGCCCAAGCGCTCCAGTGATCGTTGCGTCTCACTCGACAGGGACTCTGCTACTCGCTGGATGGCGAGGGCGACCTTGGTGCTCCCAAACAGGACGGTCTCGCTTGGAAATCGTGGAACTCGGAGCGCTGTTTCGGTTCACCGTGGAGCGCTGTAATCAGTCAACTGGAGCGCTTTCGGTTTGTCCCTCCGTGGAACTGAAGAGTCGTACCTGCACTCCTTTTACCGGTGGCACAGCCTGAGGTGAAAACAACATGAGCCGGCCCTTTGTCCTGAGAGTGCCAAGGCGACTTGAAAGTGCCACACATTTTGTGCGCAAATCCAAGGTCACAAAGTTGCAAAGTGTTTGAACGTCCCCAAAGGTGCTACTGAACCTGATGTTTTGCATCAAGCCTTCAAGTGATGTTGTTTGGTCGGCCCAGCTCTGACGCGAACCAGGTGCCAGCAACCAGTGCATTTCAAGCATGCTCACCATCCAAAATGCACTAAAATCAAAGCGAGAGCCCCAAGTCACGCACGACTGGCATCCGAACCACTCGGTGTTGTTCATTTACTTCTCCTACACCCAGAGTGACCTGAAGTCTTGGGCTCTGACTGAGTCGGAGGTCGAGCCTGGAGAGGGTGGAGAGCAGAAAAATGGTGGTCAAACCCATTGGCAAAAAGGAAAAGTGAACTAAAGTAAACCCAGCGGCTTCCTGGGTATGAATAATATAATATCGTTACATAAGCATGAATGTATGGGGGCAACACGGAGTCCATACACAGAATTTGGCCCATCCTACAGCAGTACCTTAGTACAAAACTCTATAAGACAATCAGAACCGGGGCCCAAAGAGCTATAATATGCTATAATCAGGTGATCCTTCAGCCATCTCGTTCCCATTGTTCATCTCTCGTTCTACACCGAGACCTCCATCGTTCTGCTCCCGATCCCCAAGTCGACGGTCGTCGACCTCAAAACATCACCCGTTGAACGAACGTCGACTCTGCGCGCGCCGTTGGTTGCACCAAACACGAAAGACGACCATGCGGCTGCCGTCACCAAAAACACTGAGAAACCAAAAGTCACCAAGCAGATCCCCACGATCGAGAAGCCAGAGCTCAATGGTCTCGGAAGAGTGCGTCGACGCGGTCATCTTCTGGCCCGTGGTCGTGGCAACGGTCCTTCATCCCAGGGCCCCGGACCGCTCTCTGCAGTGCTCTCACGAGGTCTCAGGGGCCCTCCCTTCACCACGCGCTCTGCGCGCTCTGCGCCCTCTGTGCGCAACTTCTCGTCCACCTGGCTCAAGTGCTCCTCGACGCCTTGCGAAGCAAGGCCAGTGATGATCCGAAGGTCAACGAGTCGGTTGGTTTCTGTTTGAGGGATCATGTCTGCTCAAATCCTCCGACTCCGGTCTAGGACGACGGAGCGTGCGCGTGAGCACGCTTCAGGGCAACCGCGTGTTCCCTGTGAGGGGTTCCAGACAGCTGGGCGCTGGGCGATGTCGGTCGGTCGTTTCAGAGTAGATGGAACAGTCGCTGGGCGATGTCCTTTACACCCCTGGCTTCAGATAAACCACCGACAGTGGGGTCTGTGCCATCTACTCTCAATCCACTATAGATTTGTTGCTGACCTTCGAGATCCTTTTCCGGGAAGAGCATTGCCCACTGGGGTTCGACTCCCCCCCTCACCCCTTGAAATTTCAGGCGGCCATTGTGCGGTGCGATATCCAGTGAAGTTGGCACTTGAGGTGAATACTTAGCCCTTGACTCGCCAAACCGCAAGGTGAAGAGTCTTGAACAAAGGGAGGACAGACTTCGCAGAGTCCCTAGCAACCTGGATTCGGTGCTTCAAACCTGCAAATTTACTGTACACACATCTATAGACCCTAACCTTTAAAGACCATTGAAAGAATGGTTGACGTGGTGTTTGTAGTCCAAAGTCCTTAGTAAAAGAATGGTTCCTTGGTCTTTCACTCGCGGATGGTAACGCGCCTCTCACGGACCCTTCCACTGTTGTAGCGGGGAATGGTTCTTTGGTAAAGACAATTGAAACAATGGGTCGATTCCCATGTACACCAGTTCAGTCAGAGTCAACATCCACCAAGGCCCGGCCGCCAAGACCTTAAAGATGCGCAGCCGCCGACGGTTCTGCCTTCCAACTTCTCCAGCAAGCTTTGTCGCTCTGCCACGAGAGTCTCCCGGAGCTTCTGCAACTCAGGCAGCTCTGAGGGCACCTGACCAGCCGAACGGTGCCCTGGGTGAGGTGAACTGGGTCGTGCAAAGCATGCTCTTCAAAAGAATGTCCAGTGAACTGCAGATTGGGTTTTGGGTTGATGGGCGTTCAGATATTTTCAAGGGGAAATGTGGGTTCATCTTGGTGCAGATTCATGTGAGTTGCCAAGATGACAAGGCACTGTAGAAAATTGCGGGATTATTGACTACTAGTGGACTGCCTAGGGATTCTGCTAGAATGGTTTGTGCCGCACAGGAATGCATCAGGGGATCCATGGCAGAATAGATCTATATACCAATGACTCTGGAAGTTTCCTTGTTTCTGACAGAAAGAGTACTCTCCCTTGAGCAATGTTGTTTGTGCTTTTTTTGCACAACCAAATTGAAAGGCATACCCTGTGTCCGACTGCCATGTCGGACTGGTGGGGAAACTGGGTTCTTGGAAGATGGTCGCAAAAACTGCAAAGGAGATTGAACAACCTGATGATCAGGTCCATTTCTCCCAATCTTCCCTTCATTTGCAGGTCCACGTGACCGGCACAACCACGTGACCAGTCCACCCCACCGGGCACGTCGCGAGGCCGGTGAAGCAGATTCTTCCTCAATCTGATCACTACCAAGGCATCTCCGTGGAGGTGGAGCGTTTGTTTTGTCCTACCGTCGTCCAATTGGAGGCACTTCGGCTCTAAGTTGATGCACCCCTACCATAAACAATCTACACCGGGTGCAGAGTTTTACAACTTGAAGAGTTCGAAGCGTTCCAATATAACCTGAACACAAAAACAAAATCCGTACTCCCATAAATAGTCTTGGCCCCGAGTGATATTGAGGTTATATAGGAAAGGTATAGAAAGGTACCCAAAGCTGTGCGAACATGCGAAAACTAACTGGAGGGCCTTCATGCAACACACCCTCGATCCCAACAACTGAGGGCACCTTGTGGATATTCTGCTTCCCCACCCTCAAACAAAAGAAAAACCCGGGAGCCCTCAATCCGTTGCACATCTCTCATCCGGCTTGCCTCAAAGCTTCCGCTTGAAGCGCTCAGGGCTTTCAAAGCAACTCTGGAGTCATCTGTGGAGAGGATCTGTTGGATTCGGAGAAGGACATCCGCGAAGGCGGCCCTTTCATCCTGGTGCGCGCGGCGCGTGCAACGCGTGCGACGGTGTCGTGCGACCCATCCGAAGCTTCTGGGAGACTGTGGCGAGTCGTGTGGAGACCGTGTGGATTCCTGGATCAATGATGTTCGTTTCTGTGAGAGCTTCGCTGCGGTTGGCTTTGCTTGGATTGCACATGACGTGAATGGTTTCAAACAGTGACCACAAATAGATGTCTGCATGAAAAGACCATATATGTCGGCGAGCTGTTGGTTACATATGGATACAAACATATCTGCTGCGTTAGCGTTGGCTGTTGCTGTTACAACATGTCTTTCTGTGTCTGCTGTGTTGTTCGTGTTACAACATTTATATACATGGCTGCGCTGGTGTTTGTGTACTGTAAATAGGGAGATCCTGGGGACCAATAGGTTTTTGATGTATTGTCCATTTTCGAGGTGGTGTTTGGGAGGTCTCTGTATTGTATAATACACACCCTTGTGCTTGTGTGTGTTGAACATAAATCGCCGTCTCGGATTGGGTGCACAGGGTGCGGCACCTGGCGCCAATGATGGATCAGGCTGCACACGGCCACCCTGGCAGTCGGTTGGACGGATTGTTGGATTGTTTGCCAACAAATTTTGAGGAAGACATACAAAAATAACTTTGAGATGTTGTTGAAGCATTCATACCGAGGCCGGACGGCCGGTATTCTTCCAACAAAAAAAACACTCAGTTGGATGCTTGGCCGCCTAGTTCGGAAGATACACATTATATATATATATATATGTATATATAGCTTCTACGGTAGATTGGTGGTACCAGCAGATTTACACCAAGGACTAATGGTTTGCCCCCAAGCACTTTAGGGGCTTTATATAGGCGGTTTTAGGCATTCGAAACTTGGTCATCAGTTTTGGCGATTCGATGACCAAGATATTCTCATTCCAATGCACGAGTACTGCAATTACCCTAACTGACAAAGAGTGATTGCTGGTGTCCACAATTGGTTGTATACAGGTTTGGGTCTATGTTGCCAGTGTTTGAAGTGGTCTTGCTATCATCGGTCCCAGCCCAGTTCCAGCATGTATGATACTTTTAAATATGCAGTTTGTGTGGAGCTCAGCAACAAGGAACCCCAGTTGAACCCACACCCTTCTCCCTGAACGCCGTCTTTTTGTTTCACTGTTGGCACCATGTCGAAAACCCATGCTCCAATCCCCCCCATGGGTCCCTGCGCCTCCTGAAGTGGGTCCTTCACATCTACAGTCCTGCACACCCGCTGCCCCCAAGAAACAACACCTCCCCCGGGGCCGGTCCAACGCCCCCCGGGTCGCCACGGGCCGGGGGCGCCCGTTGTGGTCGTGCCGCGCCTAATGTCGTGCCCCCGCAGGCGCAGCTCGCAGCCCGGCACGAAGTGCCTGGAGGGGTCAGTGGGAACGGTCGGAGTCGGCCTTGTGACCGAAGCGTTCCGGGGTGGAACAACAGCCCTGATCTGCCGTTGCTTAGCCCTTGCTGATTGGAAGTGTGGTGAAACAGATCTGCCCCTGATTGACAGCCCTTTGCTTTGATGAGAAAGCTCGGTCGCCGTGTGGCCTTTTCCAACCAGGGGTCGTATAATAAGGTTCCAGGAAGACGGCGTTCGGCAGGTTCGGGTGGTCCGAAAATTATGATCAACCGGTCAACTCATCTCCTAGGCCCTAAGCTGGAAAAGAGTCTCTCTTTTTCGTTGTTTCAGGTGACAGTCTGGACCCCTGCACTGATACAAGTTCTTGGTGCAAAAAACAGGGCCTTTGCCTTTGACCGCGGTCAAAGCAAACGTGAACGGCTCTGCTTTGGTTGAAAAGATCTGTATTCTTCATGACCAAAAACAAACATGTCTACAACCCTTCGGAACAAGGGAAATGGACAGAGTGACAGTGGGAGTCATAGAAGTTGGGACTATTCTCTTGAGAAAGAATTGTGGAATAGCCTAGGAATCACTGCTGAAAGGTACTATCATATCATCTAAAAGCAGACGCCAACAGTGGACACTTAAGAAAATGCGTGCCCGCTGCCAGCTTGACACGTTCCTTCAACAAATTCACTTCAAGCGTTGCCTTGTGCAAAAGCGCTCGATCTTTGCTGCTCGAACAAGGGGGGACGGTGGCTGCTTTAACCAAAAACAACTCCTTCATCTCTCAAATAAAACGGTAGATTAACAAATCCTGCCCCACTTTGAAAACATCGGAATTGGATCCCCTTTTCCACTGGCATCAGCTGGATGAGCTGGTACTCCGGATCTCTTGTTGCGGAGGAAGTCACAGTGGGTGATTGGGCAAGCCCAACAAACGAAGCCCCCGTCGAACTCCTTGCTCCGTCTTCCTGGGCTGAAAAGGGCACTCATGGGCCATTGATCAGGAGCCAAAAGTAACAGCACCGAAAAAGGTGACAGTCGAGAAGTAGAGCTGGCCTGTCTTAGGTTTTCCGTGGGCTGGTCTCCACCGGTGGATCCATCGTTTTCAGCGCATCCAAAACGAGGTGAAGATGCTCGATCTTGATGTAATAAATAGGTGCCTACTTAATTAAGGAGGTAAGCTCCAAGGTAGAACGCAGGATAGCTCGCGCTTTTACTATGTTGCTTCCTAGATGTCTGAGATTTTAAGGAGAAAAAAGCTCTGAGGACTGACCAAACACTCTTTGGTCTCCGTCTCCGTTCCAACAACACCGATGGAACCAGTTCTGTGTGATTGGTCCGAGTCTTGATCTATCCGTCATTTCAGGAGAGAGCGAGTTTAAGGTGTCATTTCGTCACTCACAAGATCTCCCTGAAAGGAATGTGCGAAGACCTCAAAAATCAAGTAAACTGGACGCATCCCCACGACGCAGCCGTCCCTCCGGTCCTTCTGGAGCTGCTATTGGGACATTCAGCCGGTGAGTTGGGCCAGGTATATATATATATATATCATAGGGAAGCGTCCAGGTGAAAAGCACGTTGGACTCATAGACGTTGACATTGGCATCATTGGGGAGAATCGAAAACTGTGATAGTCAGACTCTACTAAGGATGTGTATATGAGAAAAGGTGAATGCAAATCGAAGGTGAATAGTGAATTCCCTGATAGTGTCCTGCCAAATATCCATGTATAGATCGCAATGTACATACATAGTACACATATGATTGAGGACGTGTGGACCACTTTCCGCCAATGGGATCGCCTATTGTCTGGAGGAGGACTGTCTAGACTGCCTATAATATAGCAGCTTAGGGTAGGGGAAGAGCCAAGGTACCTGTTCTTTATGCTATTTTTCAGGGGCGCAAACCTCCTTGAAGACCCATCCACACCAAAAAACCAGCAAAATCTCCTCTTTCTTCATCCTGCCTTCAAGCGCCTTTGTGCGGAAGGGAAGGTTGGTCGCACCTGCCGTGTAACGCACCCCACGGGCCGACAGATCCGCCAGTCCGGGACAGATCCGCCAGTCCAGTGGCAGAACTGCTTGGGGAGGTCGGCACGAAGAACACACCCACCCCCTGGCTCGGCAGAAAGCAGCTTAGAGCCACGAGCTCCAGACTCTGTCACCGGAGAGAAGAGGCTCTCCGACGATGCATTCGGCATTGGAGGCCGAGCCCTGCCCTGGTAGACAATGCCAAAGGCTTCCAGCACCCAACTGCTGCCAACACGTCAACAAATGCCAATTGCCAAGGACTCTCCATCGGTCCAACGGACTCGCTGCTTGGTGTGCGAACCAGGATCTTTGCCCAAAGATTCGATCACGAGAGCCAAGCATCTAATACTCTTCATGACATCGAAATTTCTTGCAGTCGAGTACATACCTCATGCACCCGAGCACAAGCTACAGTATCAGAAAACATTCACTTTCAAACATATAGACCTTGTATGTCCGTTTTTGTCGGCCTCGGGGAAAAGCAAAACACCAAGAAACCACGAGGAGGCCGATCAAAAAAGAGTTTTTTCATAGAACAAAACCATCTACGTCCGACCCCCCGCGGTGTTTGGGGTGTTTGGGACCCGGTTGAACCAGCTCCCTTCGCTCCCGGACCGCCCCGCGGTGCGTGTGCTGGCCGGGCCGCAGCGCCAGCGCTTCCACTGCCGCATGGCACTCCTCGACACTCGGCGAAGACGAGGACTCGGTGCTCGGACCGCCTCAGACGGGACGGTGGCGACGGTGGCTGGGATGGGACGGGCGGCCACCTTTGGAGGTTTGAAGGGGGGGGTTCGGGATTCTATTGTTATGCATGTATATGTATTCACCTTACCTTCATCATTTGAGTTGTGTCTGTTGCATTTTATTAGTTAAAATGATGATATATCTTTCATAGTACAGTATGTCTGATTCATTATTATAAAAGAAAGCTTGCTATCCGCCCTGATAAAATTAATAGAAAGGATGGGCGGCAGAATATAAATAATGAATATATGTACATATATACATAACACAACATAACCTTATAAATATATATGTACGTAATATATAAGTTTTGAGCCATGCGTTGGTGGGTTGTGGCGTGGCTATGCATGGCTTTCTTGGTGCTGGGGAGGTGGAGGGGGGGCCCAGGACATTGGTGGTACTAAACCGAGGAAAGAGACCAGGAATTCGCCGCAGCCCGAATAGCAAGTTTCAAAGCACGCACTTCTTTCGTTCTTTTGCCCTACAGGCCTATACAGTAAACAGAAAGACATTGGCCGTTCATCAGCTGGGTATAACACCACTTGTCTGTGCTCAGCCATGCTCACCATCTCCAACCCAAAGGGGGCTCCTGCAGTACAAATACGCCGCTCGGCCCCCCAGTCACTCAGTCGAGGTTTCTGCAAAGAATCGGCTTGCGGCCCACGGCAACCACCTCCGCCTCCTAGTCGACTCGAAAACAGGGGGCGAATCATGAGAAAATGGGGCGAATCCGACAAATCCCGTGTCCACCGCCCCTGTTCGGCCGCAGCGGCTCTTCTCACTCTCACTGATCACGCTGCTCGTGCGGGATCGGCTCTTGCTCTCCGCTCGCGTGCTGTCTGGCGCAGGCGGGTGATCTGGGACTCTAAGGAATGCTGCGGGTGCTGAGGGCATTGGGAAGCGGCACAAATGATCGATCCAAAAGCTTGTACAGCTTGGCAGGAACTGTCTTTCTTCCCAGCCTCGGTCAGAGGTCCAGGACATTGGGAGCCTTGGTGAGGTCTAGCTCTATATTAATCTATAGGAAAAAAATAAAAAAACCGGTTCACCTCTGGCTTGGAAGAAACCTCACAAACGCCAGAGAAAGGAGATGAAGACCATTGAAAGATAGAGTGTCTGTCGTCGCTTTGAGACAGGCTGGGCATCATCACCAAACATTGTAAAGTTGCAATAGTTGGAGCATCAATCAAAAACCTCACCCCTCCTTCACCTCCCCCAAAAAATGAAACACTGAAAATTGCACAAAAAGGACCCAAATAGTAACAATATAAGGAAATTAAAAAAAGAAACACACGCGCTCCCCTCAGTCACCCCGGTCCCCCCGCCCACCCCCCGCGCCGGTCGCACGGGAAGCGGCGCTGCCCGGCGACTTCAGGCCCAGCGCCAGCAGCGCCGAGTCGATCTGCGAGGAGCGCGAACGCCGTACAAAGCTCGTACGGAGCGGTGCTGAACCGGAAAGAAATCAATACCAGACCATGGACAAGCTAACGGCAAACAAAAGAAAGAAGTGGAGTGCGATTCGCACCTTAGACCAATCAAAAGGAGGTGATCTTCTTGGAACAGCATTTGTTCCCGTCCTTCTTCCGAACAGATCTTTCTTCTCGACGATCCTTAGCGTTCCCTCTTCGCCGCATCTCTCCACCCCCCCGGCCTCTGCACTATGGGTTTCGATCCCGTTCCGCCACTCCGAGAGCGCCTGCGAGGCCACCCTGCTGGGGGAGACCACACGCCACCCCCGAGGGGCCGCAGAAGAGTTGGACTCGGTCGATCCCACGAGTTGATTCTCCCCCTGCCCAGGGTCCTGGAACGATCAGATCGAACACATGGCCATCCCATGGCCTTCGTTTTAGCCGCCGATGCTTGAGTGATGGAGGCCGGAAGCCCGAAAGCCCACGCGCCTGCAAGAGTAAGGCCAGTACATGGACCTTGTCCCTGGAAAAGCCCCGAGACGATGACTGCCTCGGTGACACTCGGTTGCGCGCGGGACCCAGGGCGGGTGGTTTTGGGCGGGTGGGGATTGGAGCAGTCCGCCAGTTGGGGGGGGAGAGGGCTTGGGGGCTTGGAGGGCTTTGCCATCCAAGTCCTTTTGTGCCCCAAAAAGGGACCTCCGGACCTGCCGAGAAAGGATCGAAGCTCGCTGTGGGGTCTAAGGGCCACAGGGATTTCTTCCTGGGATGTTAGCAATTGGAGAGGGGTAGGGCCCCCAGGCAAGGGTTCTCTTTTCCTTTGGATTGGAGTTCTTAAACAAACCGATTTGCTTCGGGTTGAAGACAAAGCAAAGAACATCCAAATCGCACGGCGCGGTCAGACTTCGGCTGCAGCACGGCCGCAACGCTTGTGAATTGACATGGAGTGCCCTTTTTCCCCGACAGGTGGTCTTGTAGGAACTTGTAGGAATGACTCTCACCAAGCTTCATCATGACTCATGACTCAGGCACATAGCTTCATGTGGCAGTCCAATCTGGTTAGCTTTTGCATTTTTTATAGCGTATCATACAAACCAAACTCAAGTCGTACAAGTGAAGATGCATGGATGTTCTTCTTAGTGTGTAGAAGGTACATCGTTCACGATAGCACGCATGGGGGGGCATCTTGCCGGTTCAAGCTTTTGTTTGGCTGTGGCTACAGTTTGGATCCTTCTGATTTAATGTCGTACCGCATGGGAAATTGTCTATAATACATGTCTTTACTGTCGATCAGCAGCTTAGGCATGTCTCTACACTGTGATTCCATAGGAACAACTCCGGATGGGTTGTGAAGGATGTCCAGTGGATAGCTCAGAAAAGTGAACCGCACTTGTCACTGATCTTCCTACTTTCCAACAAGTGTCTTCAGCAGCTGGATGAATGGCTTTGATTCTAATAGCCAAATCATCCCTGAAACTGCCCGATTTACCGAGTTTTGTGGAAGTCTGGGTTTGAGTCTCATGCGCATATTTACTTATTTGTTCAATCGTGGAATGCAGAGCATTAAGATCGACCAAATACTTGTACACCTGTTCCAGGATTGATCTATGGCTTTGGGAATGACAGAGATATCCTCGAGCTTCCAAGACCAAAACGACTCACGACCAAACGTGTCGGTGGACTTCTCCATTCACCGAGACCCAGACTCAGGGCTCTTCTGCAGCTGATACCTTGCAACAAAGACACCCGAAGCCGGCGCCGGCGGAGATCGTGTCCTTTAAACCTTGCATCATACTAGAATATGGAATATCCTCTGTTTGTTTCAAGGATCCTCATAAGCCGTGCAAGGCCTATCTAGTGACCTAGTGAAAGAAGGTCTTGATGCAGCTTTGGAATGTTGCCGCAACTGCTAAAACCTGACCTCATGAGTGCAGGAATACATTCCCAGACTTATCCTCCTTACACTGGCCATTGAGATACTGTACCTCCGAGTGCGACCACGTCTGTGAGACCCGAGTGCGGCAGGGTGGCTGCTTCGAGTCCGAACCCCCCAGCGATCACAATCCCAATGTTCCTGGTTTCCCCCAGTCCCAACCAGAAACTATGGATGGAACCCCCAGTCCCCGTCACTTCCTATGTAAAGGACCAAAAAATGGAACCACCTTGTTTCTGGTTGGGACTGGAATCTTTGGGACCCGACACCGTTGCAGGGGTCCGGACCCTCAAAACTCCAAAACCCCTTGTGCTTGAGGGCCGGATCCTTAGGGTGGAAGATAAACAAAAGCACTGAGAGTCATGCGTCCACTTGCTCAGAGGGCCGTTCCTTGCACCATCCACCCTCTCCAGAAGCTGTTCGAGGCAGCCTGCAGGCGCTCAGCTGCTCCCCGCTGCTTCCAAGCTGCTCCCAGCTCCCGAACGCTTCCACTGCGGCCAAAGCCACGTCAACGCGTCCAGCCGCATCTCGAGACCACGAGCCGCCTGCATCTGGACCGCCTGGGGACGGGCGACGGCGACGACCCGTCGCGGGAGGTCTATCTGGAGCGAAGAACCGTGGAGCTTCGCGCGGGCACGGCGCGGCCTTTTGGTTTGCAACATCGGCATGTTTGACCCATGGCCCAGCTTCCAACCAAACGGACCAATGCTGTCTCCCTGCTGCCTCTCGCCAGTCCTCTTTCAAGGCACGCAGCGCCGTGAGTGCCGCTGTGGCCTGGCGCTTGTTGTTGCCAAATTGCAAAACAACTCATGAAGTGCGTGGCCTGATTCAAATTGCCAATATTTTTGGCGTATGTCGTATGTATGAGGCATCTGTGGCTAGAGAATCCAGGATGCAAGAAGCTTTACTTGATCCCTTGAGACTTCAGTATCTCGGGCTTAAGTGACTGCATGGATGACCTGCAAATTATATACATCCAGTGCGTTTGACCATTCCTCACATGTATATATGGTAAGAATATGTAAGAATCAATCTCAGAGTCCAGCCAAAAATGTCCGAAACGGAGAAATCTGGCAAGTGTCCAGCACTCAGTTTCTATGAAAACCACAAATACTACTGAGCAAAGCAAGCTGAGCTGCTTTCAGCAGCAAGCTTCAGTCGAACCTCTATGAGTGCCTCCAGTTGATGGACGGGTTTTGTACGAAGTTGCTCGGATCAAGGAAGTTGTTCGTCAACAGCCGTTGACCATCCACCATTTGAGCCGCTACCATTCTAGCGACGCTGCTGCAGCTGCCAGACCATTCTCCCAAAGATTTGATGGAATATGACAGTGGGAACTAGACCAATGCAGGGGTTCTTCTTCTTCTTTCGGTTCTAATACCTTCGGTTTTCTCCCATCCTCCCCCTGGTCTCTCTACCTCGGAGGTACAGCACGGGTCACCGAAGACCTTGGCCGCTCGAGTGCAGCATGGCGGGCGGATCGGAACAGCTCGCCGTCCATCGACCAGTGAGTCACCCTGAGCATCCTCCTTCTGGCTTCTGGAGGCCCTTTTGCATCCCTGTCAGGCCCAGCCCACCAAGTCTTTCCCTCTTTGGAAAAGGATTCTAAGCTACCTACTGTCACGCCCAGGCCCCACAATTCATGGTTTCTTGGCATCCGCCGAGTTCGGGATCTTGAAAGGTGTGTTCGTCCTCTCTCGAAAGGTCTGCCGCCTGTTCTCGGCTCCCCCAACGGCTTGAAGCGTGGGCTCCACCAGAGGGACAGCGCACTTGGGAAGGCAAAGCTGGCGCACTCGACCGGTCGTCGGTTTGGTCTTTCTGTAGCTGAGGGAGTGCAGCTTGTAGCGTTTCTCTGATGACTATTGAAGGGTTGCTGAACAACCACAGGCTAAACAGGTACTCTGGGGTTGCACCACTACAGCAATACAGCTATATAGGACCGTCTTTGAGCCAAACATATGTTATTTACATTTATTTACTGTGAAATAGAAGTAGAAGTAGAAGTGGAAAGAAGAAGAAGAAGTAGTAGTAGTCTTAGCAGCAGCAGCAGCAGCAGCAGCAGCAGGAGGAGGAGGAGTAGTAGTAGTAGTAGTAGTAAGTAGTAGTAATCGCAGTCATCGTCCTAGTTGTCGTCGTAGGCGTATAGTCGTAGTCGTCGTCGTAGCAGTAGTGTAGCCGCCGTCATCGTCGTCGGCGTCGGCGTCGGCGTCGCGGTCGTGGTCGTCGGCGTCGTCGGCGTCGTCGGCGTGGTCGGCGTCGTCGTCGTAGTAGTCGTAGTCGTAGTCGTAGTCTTAGTCGTAGTCTTAGTCGTAGTCGTAGTCGTAGTGTTAGTCGTAGTCGTAGTGGTGGTGGTGGTGGTGGTGGTGGTGGTGGTCGTCGTAGTAGTAGCAGCAGCAGCAGCAGTAGTAGGAGTAGGAGTAGCAGTAGCAGTAGCAGTAGAAGTAGTCGTGGTGGTGGTGGGGTAACGGGTACTCCACCTCGCACCGTGCTTCTGCAGGATCCTCGTGGCACCGGAACCCCATTACAGTGGCGAGTTCTCCATAGTAGCAGCGACCCTCATGGAATTGACCAAAACCATGAGTGAATACAATTCCAAGGACTTGACCAGGTTTGGCGACAAGGTGTTATTGACAGGCGACTCGTGTAACTGGGATCGCTCTGGTCTCTCGCAGAGCATCCGACTTTGAATGGCCAATCCCAACAGAAGCAGTCCATCCTTGCCCTACGTCATGGCATGGGCAATTGAACTAATGGAAGACAATCATCTGCATCCTCTGACCACAAGATCCTGTTTGCAGATTGATATGGACCCTGAAAACCACCAGGTGGTAGATAAGAAATAGTCTTATAAGGCTCTACTCTCACGGTCCATGTTACTCTGCAGGCGGGCCTGCAAGAGGCTCCTCAGCTCAGCCAAGAAGACCTGCTCAGCCCAGGCGTGAGGACTCAGGTGATGTGTCAACAAAAGCTGACCAACGAGGACCAATTGCAGTCCTGGGAAGACGAAGCATCTGATAAAGCCCCATGTGGTTTTCCTGAAAACGGTGTTTGAAGGGATGCACATGATTGAAAGGAACTTGAGTCCACATGGAAAGGCACACAGATACCACATGACACTTCGGAGCTGGTGAAATTTCCGGCCACAGCCGATGTCACAATATATTGGTTTGACCAAGAACACCATGCGAGCGATTCTCTCTAAGGTGCATGGGATTGGCCTGGAGAGTAGTCGCCTAGGTTTAGAAGTGTTTCCATGTGACCATGTCCACCCATGAAAAAGTTATATTATATATATATATTATGGGTAAAAAGCGAAGCAGCTTTGAATTGTCTACCGTGATCAGAATATGGGTGTATATGGGTGAAGAAGAACATCCATCGCCTTCGGCTCGGAGATGTCCGGATCCCTGTCATCTTCCAAAAGCGGCTTTCGGACGGTGCTCCCCAACGCACGGCTTCTTCGACGCGTGGCCCCGGTACCACGACCGCTGCACGAGACAGCTTCAGATGGGGCATGGCACGCAATCCCACGAGGCTCAGCGACGCCAGGCACCTCTCAGTCTCGCGCGAAACTCCAGGTCCGTGCACGAGTCCCGAGTCCCGAGACTCCAGCTCTCCCGCTCCCACTCCGACTGCTCCCGCTGGCGCGCCTCCGAGGGGTGGGCCTCGTCGGCCGCCGCGAAGAGGGGCCGATCGAACCTCGGTCTTGGCGGAGCAACCGCCACGGTCGGGCGGCGTTCGGCGGGGGTGAAGGCGGTGAGGCCAGCCGCGAGGACATATATTTGGTATACGGTATTATACGGTTACAACCGTACACCCTGAGAAAAAAAGAAAATAAAACACAAACCAGCCCAAATTCCCATGCAGACCAGCTGTTCGGACTCGCCTTTGGACCAGCTGTCCGGGGGGGAAGCTTCCCCCGGCTCCGCGGGAAAGAAGACACCGAGCCCAGCATCGAAGACAAAGCCATGGGAAAGAACCCGTGGTCCAGATTCTGAGTATGGAATGCATAAAAGAAGATCTGAGGCATCCTAAAAACTTCAAGCAGATCAGAGCTACCAGCTAGATAGGATTGCCAGTCTTCGCCCACCAAGGCGAAGTCCCAAGCTCGGCGCCATCCGACCGGTCTGGAAATGGCTGAACGACCACGCCCGATCCCGTGGGAGAAAGTCGCGCAGGGTCTCCCAGCAGCTCCTGCTTGAGGCGTTCGTTCCGTCGTAGAGCCTGGCGCGACGGAACCCACCGGGGGGGGGGTTCGGACCGGCGACGAACCGCCGGGCGTTCGGACGGCCGAGTCGGTGGGAACGGAACACACGTCGGTGGCCTCAGGCCTTGGAGTGAGGAGGAGAAAGGAGTGAGTCGGGTGATGACTACGACTATCATGACTATGAGATACTCTATGACCCTCTGAAAGTTCAGCCTCCCAGAACTGGCCCAACCTCCAGGGCTTTCTCCAAGGCATTGCTCCGCAAGAACTGTGCCTCGCCAGGGGTTGTTCAACCCCACAACTCGCCACAAAGCCTGCCGAAATGTCATCCCCTCTGGTTTTGCCATGGGCCATGGTCTTCCCCGCTTGCCAAACAGGTCCAACATGACAATCAGAACATGAACCCCAGCTACAATATTATAGAAAAAAAGCACCAGGATTCTGCGTGGCATCCAAATGAAAGTCTACAAAACAAGGAGGAACATCCTGAATGCAGGTAATGATCCTCTCAAACCCTTACAGCAACAGGTTTGATGCACTGGGTGTTCCAACCTCAAGCCAGTGCTGTCAGCCAGCTGCAGCTGCAACACCAAATAATTCTGCACTTTGGAAACACTGGAAACTTGGATTTGACTGGAGCCATGGGATATGGAAAAATGGTGTGGTGGATCTTAAAGGTTCTTTGGGCAGCATCTGCAACATCTCTGCATGCCTCCCAGTGAGAGTGAAAAGGTCCTTCACCGGGACAGGGTCGTCCATCTTGAGACACAATCTCTGCCAGGACCGGAACCAAGTCGTTCGGTGGTTTCGGGGCACCGAACGCACCAGGAAACACCGAACGAACGGAGGGTCGTGTGGTGGAGACGAACGAAGCACTGGCGCAGCACTGAAGAAGCTGAACCGGACTCTCGTGTCTCCCCGGACTGGAGCTGAATGAACCACAAGCGAAGCCGAACCTTGGTCGAAAGAAAGAAAGATCACAAGTGTGAAGAACCGTGGTTAGAAGAATGCAACAAGACTAAAGCGCCGTTGTCCTTTTTTGCTGATGGCTCATCTACCCCTACCCCTCAGGGGCACCTTAAAGGACACCCGCGTCTCGTCTTGCCGCACGCGCCGCTTCAGCGCCTGAGCCCAGCGGCGAGAAAGAATCCCCAAAGAAGTCCAGTTCGACCTTTTGTCCGAAGGAAAAGGAAACTCCTAGTCAGATCTTGTCCCCCCCTAGTCAGATCATTCCTTTTGTTCTCAGGGCCAGTTCCGAATCTAATTGGGTATCTTTGAAAACTGAAGTGAGGGGATTATGTCACTGATCTCCTGAGGGTGGGGAAGGGCGGGTAGGGGTAGTTTCTCGTCAATTTTTTGGAGGTTCTTTGTGGCGGATTATGGGGGCTCGAATCTGCCAAAAAAAAAGCAGGAAAGATGCAAACAGCAGCGAAAAAAAAAGGCAGTGCCCAGTCCCCACTTTAAAAGGTACTACCCCCGCGCAGTTCGTGGAGGATTTGGTCTATCAATACTAAGATACCGTCATCCTCAAGTGAATGGAAATACTTACTAAGTGAAAAATTGTGGTTGGAATCAAAATCTTCGATAGATTCCACAAACGTTCAGCTTAAAACACGTGCCAATCCTGTCTCTTCCCCTTGACCACTCCACAAACCCCCAGTTCCCCCGGTGTCCTGCGTCCAGCGCTGCACGAGATCCTGGGCCTCAGGGCGCGGCTGGAGAGGGATCCCGAAGCCAACGGTGAAAGCCTCCAACCTAGATGGCCTCCAACCTACTAGCGGTGGGCTCCTACAATCATCTTCTGTATCCGACACCTTTCCCAAGAAAGGATGGTCGTTTTTCCGTTTTTCACCATGGTATCCATTTAGATAGAAAAACATCCTACAGTTCGCCGGAGTTCTTCACAACATTACATAATACAAATATATATGACATACGTTATGTACATCATACAACTAAGCTTTGACGATCCTCCAGTACTTGCCTACCTAACGCACCCCCAAAGCAACCAGGCCGCCTACGCCTATTTGCAACCCTGGAGGTGGATGGAGTGCCCCTGAAGTTCTGCCTCGATCAGCAAGAGCTTCTCCAGACTTCGCGCTTCCTCCTCCAAACAATACAACTCGTAGCAGTTCCACCGCTGGCGGTGGAAAACTGCTTGGTGGTCACCACAGGGCTGGAAGAATTAATGGCATCAAATCTCGGAATGATGAACGAAGTAAGGCTTAGTAAGGTCCTGGTCAAACCCTCGATCAATACATTACTTAAAAGGACTAGAAATGACAATGAAGGCGAGGACTGTCGATCCGTGGCGAGGACGATCCCAGGCTCTGCTTCTCACTTCTACTCAGGCCCGGAACAGGCCCGAGTTAGGGACCTTCTCATCCATTTCGACCATCGTCCAGGCACCCGAAACGGACATCAATTGCTGGCCAAACGCAAGTGCATGCTACTCCCCGCTTAACATGGAACCACTGAAACCACTGGGTTGGTATCCGAAAAAGGGTCTTCCACCGGTCTTTCTTCTCAGTTTCCATGATAATTTGCGAGAGGGTAATCAAGATCGGTTCTAGAGAGGAGCAACTCAGTTAGTGTTGAGACAAGTGGTTCAATTATGCAGATTTCGTCACAACCGGCTGTCTCTTTCCCTTACTTCAAGCTGGAGCCCAAGGAATTCGCCCGGTAAACCAACGAATTCCACATCCATCCACCCGTCCTCAAGTTGCAGAATGCACGGCTCCATTCCCGCAGCAAGATGAGCCAGGTCGGGCAAGTTGATCTGCAGCACCGGGTAAGCTGCATAGAGGTACCCAAATGGATGGAAAAGTAGATTCCCACTCAAATGTATTGGAAACCGTTTCTATCTATTTATGGGGATCACTATGGGCTAAACATTAAAGAAAGTCCTCAAAACTCCCCAACAAAATCAGGTATATACCTCGTTTAGGCACTGCACGTGTTGTTCGAATGGTTTGCCGTTTCGGATCGGAAAGTGTCCGGAATCACAGTAAAACAAACACCGAGAGGATCGAGTAGTGTCAGATGTTTAAGGCACGAGAGGATCACTTAAGGCACGTGGTACAGGTGGTAAGCCTCATGGAGCCTCACTGACCGATTCTTGATGTTGGAAGGCCTGAGAAATCAACCGGACAACGCTTCGGGAAAATGGGGACCGGGGACCCCCGTGTTTTTGGCCCAGAGCACTGGCCAAAAGGCCATGTTGAATGGAAGACCCGTTCAAAGCCCTGCAGACTCTCCCACCCAAAAAGAAGGACCGGACTCTCCGACTCTGATTCACGCCCGAACACTCCCACGGGGTACCTCGCAGAACGAGACCGACTCTGTTGGGGGCAAACGACCATCGAGGCGCATTGATGGCCATGGAATGACCGTCCCACCGAGTGGAGCGTCTCGCACGGCGAGGAACGAGTTCAGCGCACTCGAGGTCGGCGGTTGGGGGGGTGGACTCATTCCATGTCTGGGAAGGAATGGAGTCTTGGCTCTTCCAAAAAAAGGGCTCAGCTTTTGGCCCAAATGCAAAGTTTAAAGATACACTGCATCCTTGGCTTTTTGGACTGCAGGCTCAGCCTTCCTGGAGCGAAAAAAACGACACCTGTCTTCTGACCCAAAAAGCCAGGATACTCACCGACCAGGCCTCATCAAAGCGCGTAACCTCAATGGATGGCAGCCAGCAAATCGAGAACAAATGAGGCCCCCATGTTCTCCTATTTGCGTGGGGGTACTGTGGGACTAACATCCCGGAATTAGAAAACAGAAACGGACAAGGTTCCATCTACTTGAGCAGGCACCAAGTCCCAGGCTTGAAAGCCATGCGTTGCCATTCTTGACTGGCTGAACACATACCAGCTCTGATGGGTGCCCGAACCAACACCGGTCGTCACCAACGGAAAAAAGGGCCCGTCGAATCACATCACTCCCGTCCGTTGCCTATCTGGTTGGTGCTTTCAACTCACTTGAAGATTAGATTAGTAGGATCAATCATCCCAAGTAAAGCTTCACCACGAAAAGATCTGAAAGCCACCCAGCTATGCCTGGCAGCCTGGCCACCAAAAAGAGTGCTTTCACTGAAAGGGGGGGCGACTGTCTGTAGGTACATGCCTGGACATGTGGCAACATGCCGAGGCAACGGTCGTTGGATGCCGCCCAAACTGCACAGCTGTTCCGGTTTTTCCACGGACACGCTGGCGTGCCACATGTGTGGTGCAGCGATCCCCGGGTCGGATGGTGTAGTAGTACCAGTAGTGCTAGTGGTACTAGTATGTGGCTGTGAAGCCTGATAGGTCACTGGAATCATCCTAAACCGGTTTTGGCACGTTCCATGCCTTGTTTTGGGAAACAAACCAAAGGAAGGGGTGGTCTTTATATACAGTATGTGATATTATATATATATATATGTAGAACCATGTCTAGTCTAAAAGAAAGTTTACAAACCTCTGCGACGCCACTCCAAAGGGGTGCAAGGTCCAAACTGGACCCCTAAACTGGACCCAAAGCCATCTACTGTCTGCTGGGTTAAAATCATGGTGTCGGCATAGTTCACAGAGGCTCTTCACTTGATTTGGTGAACATCGACTGGGTGAAAACCATGGCTTCCTTTCTCCACTCTTCGCCGTGAGCTTCACCAGCCCTTGACGCGAGTGACTCGAGCGCCGTGGAGGCCTAAATGAGGATTTGGCCCGTAGCCTCCCCCCCAGTCCCCGGCACTTCACCCTGATCCAGAACATGAAGAGTCTGAGACCCCCGGCCGCTGGCTTCTTGCTCTTCACAGGCCTGTTCTGAGGCGGTGAGAGGTTCTGGGTATCCCTGGCAGAACAGCCGGTTTCACCCACAGCGGCATCAAGACTCCACATTAGGCGAAAAACCATCTCAGTCACGCGTGGGGCCCAGCGATACAGTTTTTGTAGATGGAATACAGTCTGAATACGGCACCATTTGTCCAATAAAATAAAGGACATCCCGCCACCAGTTTCTTGGATGTGGATTTAGATCTCTTTAAATAGGATTTTATATGAATCAAGAAACCCTCCCGCAAAGGCCCTCCTCTTCAAAAAACGACGCTCTTTCTCGGCTTCGACCGGTCTCTTTCTCCGTCTCCGGAACAAGAAAACGAAGGGGAACTGCGAAAGCCGAGGGACGCTTCACAGAGGGAGTCTCCTTGGGCAAAGCCCACCACACGAAGGAAGGACCTCGCAGAGAGACCGCTGCGACGTGAAGTTCGACAGTCGATGTGGTGCCGAGGCCTGGTTGGTCCGGGGGGACCTCCGAAAAAGAGGGCCAACCGCGCCTCTGAAACCGAACCTGTTCTGGGCTGCGAGCTTCCCAACCAGTGCAGGTGCAGGATTTGTGGAAAAGGGTTCGTGGAAAGAGAAGCAAATGCCTCAAGTCTTATGCAGGAGGAAGAATAGTGGATGCGCGACAAAGACATGCTGGACCATCTGGACCTTCAGAAGGGGAAAGATGAGCCCAGCCACAAAGACATCTCCCTTATTGATCCTGGTTGCCTGATCCCTTTCATGGGTTGTCATTCACCCTCCAAAAGTAGAGGCCATGCTATCTTTGTCCCCACAACCCAAAGACACCTCTGGGTTTTGCACCTGGGCCTCAGCCACCAAACCATCGTGCGGAAGAAACGGCTAGCCGTGGGTTTGTCGGATGAGCCTCGATTCATCCACTCCAACTGCATCAACCGAGGCCCAAGACCAGGAGCATGTAGGTGTCTGTATCTGTGGGAAGCTCAAAGAAGTCCTACGGAGATTCACAAGTCCCTATTGACTATTGAACCCTGTCAGGGATCACACGTTGCACCATACAGCACCTTCAGAGTTGCATCGAAAAGCATTCTCTTCTTCTAGGCCTTTCCCAATCAGAGATCCCAATCAACAAATGGCACCTTGGAGATGAACACCATCGAATCACTTCGAATCACCGTGTCTCACCTTGAGCGGCTTTCGTTCATCTGGGCACCCTGCTCCATCGTTGAGCGAAGCGTGCTCAGCACATTGCATTCGACATGAAGCGTGGTGAAAACCTTTGATGCACACGACAGACAGCAGAAACGTGTGTTGCTGTTGCTTTGTGAACTAGTTGTTGAATTCATTTGAATTGATTCTTCTCGGACAATAATATGTTTGGCGTGCTTGTTCACAAAATTATCTGCATCAGTTGGTATCCTTAAAGAAACACGGACAGCCTTCCAAATTTTGTGTATCTCTCAGAACTATCTTCGATCATTTCGACGAAAGCTGTAAGAGAAGAGATGTGAGACCTTGCTTTGGTCATCCACCTGATCTGTTCCGTCATGAAAAGTCGCGTGACTTCCTCCCTTTCTCTTTCGCCGCCTGGTTTCGGAAGCCGAGAAGAATTGCAACCAGTTGAGGCACAAAATGCAGGTCTCGGTCCCAAAAGCCCAGCTGAAGTGCTTTTGTTTGTCAAGCGATGCTGCTTACCTGGCTTTAGGGTTTAGGGTTTCTTCCTGATGCTGTTCATCAGATCCGAGCAACCCTCAGGATTCAAAAGATATATGATATATCAAATCATATACTGACTTATATTACATAGATTAATAGATTAAATCCTTTCATATGTACCATGTTATATATTAAGACCGGTCTGAGAAAACGAAACGGTTGCAGACCGGGCGGTCGACCATGGTCGACCTATGGACCTGTTCCCCAGTAAGGCAAACATGGTTCACCTACCAGTCGCGACCGGTGGAACCATTGGCATACCACACGTATCACACACTAGTGGGCCTATGTTCATTGCCAAATTTGTGGCCAGGTTGGTTGGTTGAAGGAGACTGCGGATGTAAGCTCTATACAGGTGAGATACGGCTCTTGTTCAGAGCCTTGCTTCAAATCGGAGGCGGCTCACAATCTCTATACACAATATATATATATACACATACCATTGCTGTGCTACCTTGGTTTGGATTCACACGCATATGCCTTTTGACGAAACCAGATGGTCCAACTTAGTTGCCAGACAGCACACATGTTCGAAGCACGCAAGTTCATCACTTCTTTTCGCTAAGTGCACAAAGTGCGCAGGTCTCAGGGGCACTCTTCGTCAGCATGGCCATCGCTTCTAAGAAGCGATTTCGCCGCCATGAGATGCAAAGGTCTGTCCAAAGGGCCAGCTTGGACCCTCCAATTACAGAGATGGAGATGAGTCAAAACGTTGAACCCCGGTCTACCATATCATGTTTTTGACCCACAGCCAAACATGCCCTCCAATATTGGCCTGAATGCAGACTATAGTCTATAGATAATTATGGAATACATTGGATATATTGAAAATGCTGAAATGCTGCTTTTAAGACTGGTCTCCTGCACCTGTCGAATTGGCTCTTCATATGCCCATTGTGCTACGAAGCTGCAGGCTTTTCCCAGCATGAACAAGAACATCAATCCCAAACTTAGTGAGTCCCCACAAGAAAAGTCACTGTTCTGCGGCCAAAAATGCTGGTCGCGTTCCAAAGTCTGCCAAGTTGAGATATCAGATCCCCCTGCACTTCCCATCGCGGTGCTGGCAATTCGTCACGTGCGAGCTGCGCAATTCGCAATTCGCAAAGTGGGTGCCGGAGATTTGATCCAGATCACTCTGGAAATTCGGGCAGCCTGTGCCAAGAGCTCTTCTATTCTTTTCTACTCTTAGGAACAAGGACGCTACTAGGAACAAGTGCATCGCTACTAGTAACAAGTGCCTTACTAGTAGTAACAAGAACGCTACTAGGGGCTCCTGGCCTTACTACTAAGAATCCTGACCCTCAAATGAGTCTTCTTGGTCCGGACCCCTGCGAAGAGGTGGGGTCAGACCCCTGCCATGGAGGGCCCAACCATTCTTAGGGTACAGAAAATTCACTTTGGATCTCAATGTCGTGGTGGTCCTATCGTCCTGTGACTCCTATCCGGACCTGTGCTAAACTCATAGTTGACCGCCCTTCTGGGATGAAGCAACCAAAAAACGTCCTGTACCCAAAATATCCCCAAACCACTTCCAGCAAAATCCTCTATGTTCATGTCTTGTAGAAAGCACACGCACATGCATAAGCCTCCAGCCTCCTAGTAAACCTGACTAACAGAGTGCAGAACTGACAAAAGTGTCTCTTTCTGACGTTCTGCCTTGAAAACTGAAATCATGCCTTGCTGCTGAAGGTCAAATCTCTCAGCTTGTCCGGTGGAGGTCATCCTTCTCAGTACAGAGACGCGTTTGGCAAGAGACCCGGCGAGTAGCGGTCGACTTGATCACAGAAACGAAGGTGCTGTTCTTTATGGGGGGGGCGTTCAAACGACCGGGTCTCAGATCCGGGTTCACCCGAGTCTCAGATCGGATGCAGTGGGGGCGTTTCGGTAAAGAAGATCTGGTCATCGGATGCAGCCCAGTCTGAAGGTCCGAATCGATCCGAAACCAAAAAACAAAACGACAGGCACCCGTCCAAGTGGCGAATCAAAACCAAAGGTCACGATCCACTCACCGGATTCGGAGATTCGCACCCCAAGAAAACCCCTGAAAGCCCTCTGAAAACCCCCTGAGATCCTGACATTCCCTCTGAACAAAAAGAACAGATGCATACCCCAAGGTGTCTTTTCTTGGCCACGATCAGAGCTTCGAACCTGCTCCGAAAAGCTTACCGTTGGCAGTATCTTGGAGTGAATTCTTCGGCTGGAAGTTTGGTATTCCTATGCGAATGGGTATGGTGTCTGCAGGCCTGGATGCCGAACATCTCTGCTCTTGCTTTTAAAGAAAGAGCTGAACGAGTGCGCTGAGTATAGCAAGTGTGAAATGCCAAACGATGATAATGATGTTCTTGATAAACAATGATGTTCTTTATGCGCTCCGCTGTCTAACGAAGCTTTGTGTCCATTCTGTCCAGCATGTCTAGACTAGCTCCAACATGCTCGCTCTCTCTCTCTCTATATATATATATACAGTATGTGTGTATAGGCTAATTTGGCCAGACTTCCGGTGCTTGCCCAGCGCACATCTCGAGCGTTCAAGAAAAGGTGGCATAGTACAGCATCTTCTTGGAAGAGTGCGGTTACATCAGTTGCTAAGAAGAATAAAAAAACACATCACAGCCTGTGTGATGAAGTATTCGTGCCTTGTACTGGACGCTACTGGAGCGAGTTCGATGATCCAAACACATCACAGAACTTCAAAAACACTATAAAACACTCACAGTTCGATGCTGCGCACCGTGCGTGGAACACGTGGGTTCATGGACTTTAGCTTGTAAAACCACATGTCAAGGATTTGATGTTTGAGGTCGGCAATGCCACGGTGAGTTGCTCCAGCGTCCACACGTCCAAGACAGCCTTGGAGCCAAGCCGTGTGGCTGCAAGATAAGGAAGTTCCGACGAAGTGATCGGCATAGATTCATCTGAGGTATCTGAACATACCCTGTTGAATGAGATGGACCGAAGAGCCCCTAAACTGAGTAGGATGAGTTGGGCCCCGAGAAGGTTTGTGAGCCGAAATTCTGGAGAGTTCTACAGTGCACCTCCAGCCCAAGGTGTATACCCAAACAAACCAGAAGGACCCGTTTTCAAGCCAGCTAAACCTCTGCATTCGATGAAGAGGGGCCCCAGGTTTTTTATGCCACAAGGAAGCTACTCAAGTCCCATCTGCAGCGTTCCTGTTGGAAAGCCACTGGCAGGTGGAGGGTGTCCCGAACGATTGATCCGTTTGCTCCAAGTGGTGGACCGACCAGTCCTTCGTGTCCGAACCGCATGTCCCTAGAAGTCCAGTTCAACAAGTCCGGCTGCACACAGTCCAGTATTCCGTAAGGTATGTTCTTTTCGGGTCACCGGACACTTACAAAAGACATGTGTTCTGGCCATAGTCTTGGACTTCCGGGTTAAGATCACAAAGGGTTGAACCTGGGGATTTGGGCATTGCTACGGGGTGCGGAGGGATCTCCTTTTGTGCCGTCGAGCTAAGTGACCACAGTTCAGTTGACAGGTCTGGCTTCCACCGTCCTCTTCGTCCCTGTTCTTTCCAGGTCTTTAAGCTGCTCTCGCAGCTGCTTGCTGCATCTCATGACGCAGGGTGGCCCACATGTTTAGTCACTCCAACTTATGGACGAGACACGCGGAAGAAAGGACCAGCCTGGTCCACCCTGCAACTCTTAGCAAAGATTGCAAAGATCGCAATCAATCCATGGCACTGGACAAAGAATGAAATTCCACCTTCTCCAGTTTGCAGTTGCCCGAAAATCGAACACCACCCCCATGTCGATGACCGACCGAATCGGGGGAACCACCGACCCTCGAAATAGGTCGCAACGGAAGAACGACGGAACCACCGAGGTCTGTTGGTTCGTCCTTTCCTTAATGGGAATCCTCTCCCATGCCTTACTAAAAGACATGAAGCCGTGACAAAGAAGCCGTTTTCGCTGTTTTTTGAGTGGTGTCAATGTCAGTGAATCGTAGGAGGGTCCTGTCTCAAAACCAAAGCCATAGAGTGTGTTTTTTCAGCGAGAGTTCTGGTCAAGCAGTTGTGATCACCGCCCCACCAAGGCCTTCGCAATGGACATGTTCTGAGCATGACTGGTGGCGATCTGGCCATGCAAATTCTGCGCTCAGCCGCACTCACGTGGCATGCGCCCGCCTGGTTGGGACGGGTTCCGCTTTTGTTCTTTACGCCACAGCAGTTTTTCACAGCTGAGATTGATTCATTTTGGTGGGGCTTGTAGCAGTTATATAGAACACGCTTATATATATATATATATATAAAGACAATCCCAAATGCTGAACCGCTCTATGTGAAGCAACTGGGGCTACTCAATTTGATCCCCGAAACTTTCCGCGACCTCCTGCAAAAAGACCTCCGCAGATTGTCAGGAACATGAAAACCGCTCCTAGACAAGTGCCTCAAATGTTGATCATAGCAACAAACAAGAGGTCCAAGAACAAGCAGAAGCAAAGCTCTCAAAATCTTGACCTCTCCAAGCTCCAGACTCCTCCCAACAAAATCACCAAACCCATCGCTCCTTTCAGGGGAATGGCTGGGCCGGACTGAGGCCACTGAGCCACGAGCTTCCTGGTGACCACGAGCGGTGCCAGGAAGTCAAAGCCGTGGCTCAGGCTGTGGTGTTTCAATGATGAAGATGCTTTAGATGTTTCCTTCCAGAATGCATAGAAGGTTTGTGACCTAGCAAGACTATGAAAAGAAGACCAAACTAAGCATTTTATCAATTTTATCCATGAATTCATGAGTTCTTCTGTCCATTTCTATGAAACAATCACCTGGAAACCCAAAAAAAACAGACAAATGATGATTCCAATATGGCAATTGAGATCCTTTACATAGGAAGTTTCTGTTTGGGGGGGAAACATCCAGAACTGTTTCTGTTTGGGATTGGGGGAAACCATCGTGAGGCTGTGATGGGAACTCCATACCTTGGGATACCTTGGGTCTATAACAGTGGATGATGATGGTTCAGTGGCTGCCCGCCCTGGTGAATAGAGCGATGTGCATACGGTAGGAGCCTGTGACAGGAGACGTCCTAGGACAGACACGGTCGGGTGCACCGGGGTGCAGGACCCGAAATGAGGCCAGTGCGACCCTCAAGTCCTACAGCGAGAGTTACAAGCATCCTCCCAACGGTCGTCCACCTGGCCGCCCGCTTTTTCGTCCTTGAGATTTACGATGCCTCCCAAAACGGGTTCGGCCTTGTCGTCACCTCCGTCGCTTCGTGGTCCCGTTGTTCGAGCACCGTGGAGCCCGGTCCAAGAGTTCCTCCCCTTCCACCAGTTTCCGGGGCGACCGTGCGCGGTTCCGCGTTCCCGGCGGCCTGGGCTCGTATGGTTTGGCTGACGTTCAAGTCGCTCACGGCGATGTCCAGGAACTTCTTCACCGCTGGGCCCTGGCGGAAGCTTCGCTGTCAGGTTGTGCTTGTGCAATGATAACCACGTAGCCAAAGGCCAAAGGCCAAGGCAGCAAGCGAGACTTGATGCACCCCTGGACTTGAGCTAGTAGCAGCTAGAATCCTTTCTGTCGCCTACCTGAGACAAACAGTAAGACTTCTCACCCCATGCCTCATGTCATTCTTAGGGATTTCATCCCCTCACACCCATGGGGTGCTTGGAACGTGGGTTTGAGCTGTTGACGTCCCTCCCGCTCCCGCCGAAATGGCTTTCACCCACGAAAGGTTTGTCTCGAAGCTGGGGTCGGTGGCTTTGGGGCTTGCGGCGGTGACCAACTTTCAAGATCTGCCAGACTCAAAAATCAAAGGCTCAAAAAACTGAAATGGTTTAGCCTAGTTCTTCCTTGACCCAGAAGCTGGAAAAGCTTGCAACTCATAGATTTCTCCTCTGCTCTCTCTGCCTGAGCCTTACTCATGCGCTTGTCCATCAGCTTCTCATCTTTCATTGCATTCTGGCAGTTGGAGAGTTTTGCCCCCAAGAGTTTCAAGGAAAACAGCTGGGGAACTAGGGGCACAGAGGATTTTGGGAAGTTTTCACGTGTGCGGAGAAGGGACGTGTTCAGCTACAAATATAGATATATATATATATATATGTGTATAATTGACGTGGCTAGGGGAGAGGCTTCATAGGGACAGAGAAGGGCCTCATAGGTGCTTCTAGTTTTTGAGTTGATGGGTTTAGACCTAAACCAGTCGTTGGTTGCCCATGTACTTCGCGTGCTAACTTGGGCCTCCCCCCAGCGCGTTGGAGGTGCAGACCCGTGCAGACCCATGCAGACCCGTGCCGGTGTTCACTTGGATGAACGAAAGGGCCCAAAAGGGCGCAGTCGAAAGCAGAAAGATCCAGGCTGTTCCTGTGAGGAGACCTGGCCATGTTCCTTCAAGACAGGGCCAATCTTCGGTTCAGAAATGACTGGTATGAATCTATGATACCCTATGATACCCTATGACACCCTATCATACCCTATGACTCAAAGATATTTCGGGCCCCTTGAACACTCAGCTGCTTTTGCTCGTCGACACTCCACTCCCCAAACGCTCGCGTCTCACATCGCGCCTGCGGGAGGAGCGTCTCAAGGCCTCGGGAGCGGACGAGGCGGAGACCGGAAGGGGCGACGGGAAACCGTGGGAAAGGGGTTTGGGGTGTCCACTGGTTTTGTAAAGGAGTCTGGAGGCTGGAGTCTGGGCCGTTGTCCATTCCTAGTTAGGATCTTCACGATCCATACTCGTCTTTCTAAGAGGAGGTGACAAACTGGAGTAGTAGGCATGGTTTGCCCAGCGGCAAATATCAGAAGAGTGACTGAAGATCTCTTGATTTAAAATCTGTCCACCCTCGAAGCTCACCAAGTGTCGATTGCATTCCGGGGAAGGTCAGGAAGGGATCAGAGATCAAGCACTTGTTGACACAAGGCAAGAGCGAAAGCGGTATGCTTGATTTAAAAATGGATTCCCCTTTCCTCTTATTTCTACCTGTCTTAATTGCTTTTGGACCCAGTTGAATCCTTCCGCAAATCCAAAAAGGGCCCCATTGCCTTTTCGTCACACACATCTGATCTGGGCCGCATGGCTGTGCTCCACGTAGTCAAGCCTCTCTTGGAGCCAGTAGACCTCGGCTGTCCAAATTGTTGTGTCTCGGGAAGGCACCGGCGCCACGGCAAATCCCCTCGTTTGTGAGCCATTTACACATGTATGTAATATATTCTAGTACTCTTCTGGTGTCAGTGAGAATAGTTGCTAGCATTTGCTAGCCAATAGTGCTTTTCTTCAGGAGATGTGTCCATCAACGTAGAGCAGCAAGTCTCACCCTCAGTAAGCAATGCAAACTTCCTGGAGTAAAAAGACGCGTTCAGAAGATGGAACAAGCTTCTTATATCTTCTTATAAAATGAACCACGTAGAGCAATCTGAACAGAATTGGCCGCTTCTAGAAATTGCGCTGCTCATCAAAAGCTGCCAGAGCGGGCGATTGTCTGCTGTCGACAGCCGAACTCCCTATGTGCCTGTGGGTCAAAACCCGGGCACCCTGGAAAATGAACAGATTGCTTTGTAAGGGATGTCAACCTTCCATGGTTTGGCTGCAGAGGTTTTTGACAAATTTGTCGCAAACGGAACTGCTTGCAGCCCAGCGGGCCATGCGCTTGGTCATGTAGATGAGCGTGGCGAGGTCGATGGCCTTCGCCTGGCCTCGCAAGCGCAGGCAGCCTTGGATGAACTCCTGGCACAGGCAGGTCGCAGGCACCCGTAGGCGGAAGCGGAAGAGGTTGGAAATAGGGCTGTGGAGTGGGTTCACCAACCACCTTCTTCGTGAAACATTTTTGTAAGATGTGGCGGACTGTGCCTGCCGACTTCATGCTGGGTCTGGAGAAGTTCCTAGCTCCTTATTGGATAGAAAAAGAGGAGATCCTTGAAGTCACTGTTTCTTCTGTCACGTCGACGGTCACCCCGGTCACGGCGGTCACGCACCACACGCACCACACGCACCACACGCCTGGACACTGATGCTCCCGGAATCATCCGCGTCCAACAAGTTGAAAAGCCCCCGAGCCTGGCCAAGGCGCCGAGACTTTTTCGGCACCGTGACGGGCGCGGGCCCAAACAAGTAGTGGATAGCAGAAGACGATCGTCCGAAGACCAAATACAGTAGAGGGTGTTCCACCTTCATGCAAGCAAGTTGGAGACTTAAGCCCAGTTCCTAACACCGAAAACTTACCAGGGGGGTGCAAAGTGAAACTTAAGCACCACAAATGCGGTGGTTTGTTGGGAAATTGTGGGAATTGGGGGAGGGCAACTGGCGTACAGGGCAAATAAAAACTCGTTGGACATGCTAATTGTCACTTGGTGTCATGACTTTAACAAGACATTCCCATACCGCATGAGTGCATGACGATGTGCAGGAAGGGTGTCAACAGCCAACCAACAGCACCCTGCAGCGGCACCGTGCAGCAACAGCACGCAAGCTCCGCACACGGCGACATCTCGCAGCACCCTGGAACAGTACCCTGCCAAAGCGCACACAAGCACCTCTTCCTGTACTTGAAGGAACCCTAATAGCCTCCCTATCGGCGGAATAACAAAGTCATCGAGCAGAAGATTGAAGATCTCCTCTCTCTCTCTCTCTCTCCCTCCCTCCCTCCCCCAACTCTGCAAAAGTGCGAGTTCAAAAGCACGAAAAAACAGGCGCCTCGGAGGAATTGATTCCAATGGTGTTGAAGTATCGCATGTTCAGCGGATCTTCCAACCTCCGCAGCTAAGACCCAGTCTGGTTGGGAGAGGGCCTCACTGATCTCCTGTGCAAAAAGATGCAACAGTGTAGTCCAGTCTGTCCACGGTCTGGTACTAGTTTGCTTGGGGCCGGTGATTGATCTTTAACAGCTCGGAGCTTCCCACAGCAAGGAGTTGGATTTCGACGGACGGCTCCGCCCGGCTTCGAGTGCGTGCAACCTGGGCGATCCTGGGGGGCAGAGCAGCGAAACTACAAAACTCCTGTACGGACAATAAGGGCAACTTGAAGGCGGGGTGAGTGTTCAGAAGGAAGCTGCCAAAGTTGCAGAAGCCGGCTGGCTCGTTTTGTTGGTTCTGTTTCAGGCTCTCAACCTGGGCAGCAATGAGCTTCACCGGCTGCGAGTGATTGGTCCATTATTTGTCAGCTGAGGCGCCTCTGAGGGGCGACTCTTCCGAGACCCACTGAACAAGAACATCAGCTCGTGTGTGGAGTTGTGAGTTCTCCAAGACAGAATGCACTCATTGATGGGGATTGAGTCCGTCACACTCGCTCAAGTTGTTGAGACTCTACATCGTTTCCTATTCATGTGGATTCATTGGACTTGGGATCTCCGGATCGCTGTGCTTTGGCACCATGAGGCTGGGCTAGACTGTTCACTTCGCAGCAAGTTTGGACCCAAGTGTCATGTTTGACTCATTGATCTTCATGGTGTCATTTCCCCTGCCCATTTCCTGGGCGTTGCTTCATGTCCCCTGGGTCAAAACAAATACAAAAGGCTCAAACATCGCTAAAAGCAAGCGATTTGCTCGGAAAGTGCGGAGACCACCGGTGCCACCGAAAACAAGACTGGAGACATTCTGACTGACATCCTCCCATCGGGGCCACTCCAACAAAAGAGGGCTGGGGACTGTGGCAGTGCACTTTTTTTCTTGTTTCTCATATATTATCTCTTTTTATATGCATTTAAATATGATGTTATCGATTGCAACTTTTTGATGGCTATTTTAAATCTATATAGTAATCTATGAAAAGGATCAATATAGTTGTTGTTCTAATACTGTAAACGTTCAGTATCCTATGAATATTATATAGGCTTACTTAAAGTCAAGTTCATCTAATACTCTATAATAAACTGCAACTAAAACAAAAATGAAAACGACATTAGCTACAATGAAAGGATTTATGAATTCATATTTTAGAAGTACAAAAAACAACATTAAAGAATGAATTGAACAAATATTATGAAGAACTACAAAGTAATAGAATGTTGAATGTTGACTACTATTACACCAAATTCAACTAAAACTATAGAACATGTCTATGATGATAATATTATTCAATAACAGTACTAGATATGTGTGTTTCCTGCTGACGCAGTAAAAAAGAAGGATGGACAGTGCTAAAAAGGCTTCAGCACGGCTGTTTCCTGTGTGACAGTGTCACCAAAACCAAAAAGAAAAACAAGTCCATGTCTCAGGAGCTGCCCCTCAGACAGTGACTGTTTTTTGTTGTTTTGTTCTTTTTAGGTGTTTTTGTTTCTGTTTGGTCTTGCTCTTGTGAATTTATTTGGTAGGGCAACGAATGGTAGTATATGATGAATGTGGCTCAAAAGGTGGAGTAGCAGCAATGCAGCGCACATAAACTTACGGAAATGCGCACTGCTGTGGCCCCCTATTCGGGAAAATACGGGCTAGTGTGCGCATTGGTCTTCTGGGCTGATTTCCTTGCCATCTAAATCCAATCTTGGGAACATCACTCAGCTTTTGAACGAAAATGAACAACCTACCGGAGTTGCTTCTACGCTCTCAGGCTCCACACGTGGCAGCGAACTCATTCCAGCTGAGAACACCTCAATCCCGCACCGCGACTCGCGTTCGGGGTTGCATGGTTCGGTCTGGAAATGCAACTTCTCAAAGACACGACAGGTGAATCATTGGTGACCGTCTCTGTTCCAAGCCATTTGCGTCCTCATCCCAGTCTCGAACTAGTTGCACTAGAAGGTGCTGGTGATGCCAACTAAACAGCCCGGCACTAGTAGCATGTTGTAATGTTTATGGGATACTGCTTATGGTGTCATCTGCGTCAGCTTGCTACGTCCAGTGCATTCCCATAATCAAGTTTTACGTGCTGCCCAAGAAAGGGTTGCTTCAACTTGTATTTAAAGATCACGGCTTCACTGCCTGCAACACGCAAGTGGCATGTGTTTGTAAAAAAACGGGCGAAAAAACTTCTCCAAATCAACCTCAAATGTGCGACACTTGGTGAAGTCCTCTTGCCTAGAACTGATCGGAAGCTTTGTCTTCACCAACTGATCTCTAAGTATCTTCCTAACCCAAGTAACTCACTCTGGCGTCGGGATGGCTTCGATCACTGCCGTCCAGGCACCATTCTTGTTTTGATCTCCCATGTTGAAGATCTTCCGCACTGCATGGATGACCTGAACGTCTGCTAGAAACAGGACCCACCACTTGGAGATTTCACATGCTGTGCCAGGCACACGAGAGCAAAATGTCTCATGGGAGATTTGGTGCGCTTGCTTTTGTATATATATATATATCTGTTTGAATCAAGCGCGGCCGGCAGGGGCACATCGCACGTGCGACTCAAGTGCATTGCAGGGTCTCTTTCCCACGACCCTATTTCTTCAAAAACTCGCATACGCCAGATTGCAGGAGAAAACAATACCACTCAATCGCCAAGGGCAAAAATCCACAAAGAAGAATCATAAGTCATTGAGATGTTGACCTGCTGCTGAGTGTTCTTCACAGACCATTCTCTATCTGACCTATTTTTTTTGTTTTTGGACCAGATGCAAATAAGAATTATTAAACGAACCGAAAATTAAAAAAAATAAAAACTAAAGAAAAAATGTAAAAATAACAAAACAAAACTCTCCCAACGCGTCTCCAATTTCGCACTGGCCCGCTGCCTGCCTCTCTTTCGCGGTCCTGTCGGTGAGCGACAATCAGGGCTATGTCCTTCGAGACTTTGTCTTAGTTCGCTGATAGCAGTTCCCCCTTTATCAGGCCCTGATGTTACAAGGATGTCACAAGAGTTCAGCAACCCACAATCCATGCTGTGCTCTTTGACCGCCAGAGCCCGTCAGGACCGGGCTTCTTGTAGTTTCAAGAGGTGAGTCTGTCGCCATATGTCCACCTACTAGAGGACCCATGTGAGGGCCCCAACGTTAGGGAACCAATTCTTCCAAAAAAGAGAATTCTTCAACAACTATATATTGGTATATATATATATATACCTGAGAAGGGAGGGGACGAAGCCAGCCTCTGGCTTAGGGGGTGCTCTCAGGGTAGGCCCAGGCAAAGAATTGGCGTGCAAGAGGAACTGATGGGTAACATCAAGCAAAGATTAATTTCATGGGGCGAAGTTGACATCGCAGCCACACTGATAGGAGGTAGAAATGGAAAGTAGAAGACATAGGTCTGGGGGGTTCCCTTTTTCGCCCCGGTTCAGGGGGATTTGGAAGTGAAAAAGGGCACCCCTCAGGAAGTGAGGCGCGCTTGCCGGCGGCGTGTTGCGAATCAGTGAGCAGAGACGGCGGTGGAGGTTCATGTGCGAGGCAATGGGTAGGGTAGGTGAGGAGATGTGCTACGGATAAAACAGGGCACCCCTAAGCTATTCAGGACCTTCACGTGAACTCCCACCGCATAGAGGGTGCCCTCTTTAGTGCGGTTCTCTCGCAGGCCCTCAACCGATGGCATCATGCACCCCGTGTGGGGTGCCCTCATCAGTCCAGCGACTAGACCTTGCTACGGTTAAAGAAGGGCACCCCTAAGCTATTCAGGACCTTCCGCCTCCAACGCTTGCCCGCTGCAATCTCTTCTCTCTCCTGCCCTCCACCACGCAAACCAACAACTCCAAATCGTCTGCCGGCAGCGCTTCCTCGCGGACCTTCCACCTCCAACGCTTGCCCGTCAACAACCCCCCATTCCACGTGAATTCCCACCACATGGGGACTGCCCTCTTCAGTTCGGCTCTCTCGCAGGCCCTGAACAGATGGCATCATGCACCCCATGTGGGGTGCCCTTTTCCGTCCAGCAACTAGACCTTGCTACGGATAAAACAGAGCACCCCTATAAGCTATTCAGAACCTTCTGTCTTCAATGCTTGCCCGCTGCAATCGCCTCTCTCTCTCTCTCTCTCTCTCTCCTGCCCCAACCCACCACATGGGGAGTGCCCTCTTTAGTGCGGTTCTCTCGCAGGCCCTCAACAAATGGCATCATGCACCCCATGTGGGGTGCCCTTTTCAGTCCAGCAACTAGACCTTGCCACAGAGAAAAAAAGGCACCCCTAAGCTATTCAGGACCTCACGTGAACTCCCTCAACAAGCCCCCAATTTACGTGAATTCCCACCGCATAGGGACTGCCCTCTTCAGCCCGACAGCAACGCTAAGCTTAGCCGCAACTACAATCTGTTCTCTTTCCATGGCCTTCTGAGCCCCTCGTGATGCTGATGATGCACTCTTCGCCGTCAATCACATCACCGGCATCACAACACCCCTCAAACCACTCATTTTTCACTAACAAGTGGCCCGCCTCTCATGTTCACATCATCTCGACTTTGCGCCGTCGATTTTCGACAGTATCGCCAAACGAACGTCAGAATGCGTACGAAGGAAACGTAGTTTTTCCCCATCTTTCCAGAACATACACGTGCACCTGTGCCCCCGAACCCGTTTGCGCGGGAAACAAAACGTTTGCACGTGTCAGTCTCAATCGGTATTTGTTGCAAAGCCCGAAAATCAATTTGTACAGGCCTGTTTGAACCAGACACTGACTCAACAGCATATTGAGGATATTAAGCATCATTACCCGATTTTCACTCTGGCTTTTGCCGCTGACCCTCGAAATCGGAAACTCCATGTTGACATCACCCCTGACAGGCTTGCCAAGTGTCAACGTCGTATGACTGTGGGTTTAGCTCGAGACTTCTTGATGTTTGTGACTCAGACAGAATGGCTGATATCCTCAGAACCGGAAGGACCCCACGTCCCATGGCTGTTGCTTTTCCTCGCCTTCTGTAGTCACTCTCCGACTGTACATACCCACTTCGTGCAGTGTAAGTCACTGCATGCTTCCGTATGCATGCTCAGATCTGCCCTAGGATGGATTTGGAAGTTGCAAGGCATTAACGTTCTCAGTGCTAAGCACATCTCTTCTTTGCAGGAGTTCGGCCTACGAAGGTTTAGCGGATTCTGTGGCTCTGTCACTTTCGTCAATCCTGTCCCTATCTGGTTCTTCCTTGTCCGCTTCGCGATCGCTCGTAACTTTGGGGAACCCCCTGATTGTGAGTTTGCTTCCATTCACAAATATCACCTGGATTAGTTGATGCTCCGTGCTCTCCCGTTTTGCTGCTCGCTGTGATCCTGCATGGTACCTCAGCCTCAAGATGCAGAAAAAAAGTGGCCCGCCTCTTTTTGTCGCTCTCCCTCACCAGGCTCTGGGTTCACCTCTCCGGAATTGGCCACCATGCAACCACCCCCCCCCCACACCCCCTTTACTCACTTCGTTCGCTCCAACAACCTCAAGCCCAGCCTACCGGCTGGCTTTCGTGATATAATGTACAGTAAACCTCAAGTTCCATTCAGCAGAAGGTTTGGCTAAAAGCTGTCCGACCCCAGTCAGTTAGTCCAGACTCCAATCATTCAAAATGGATCCAATTGCCAAAAGGTGTCCAGACCAACAAATGAAGGCCCCGCAGTCTTGATCCTGTCCCCCGTTCCAGACTGCAGATCTTCTTCGATCAATGAAAAAAGAATTCTCTCAAGTTCTCTACTTGGTCAAAGGGGCAAAGCTAGGCTAAGCTAGACCTCTGAATCTCCCTCTCTCTTTTCACTTTCCTCCTTACCCACCTACTCCGCTCATGGTTTCATCCTCTCCACACCGTTTCGTCCGGTCCTCGCGTGCGGAGCCCAAAGCCGACTCCACGAAAACGCCGGTGACCACGTTCATCATGGCCAGTACCTGCGTCTCGTGCCGCGAAACGGTTGCACGGTCGGTTCACCGGAGAGAAGACGGTCTCCCACCCGTCCACCGTGGCGATCCTTCGTCGTTCGTCTCCCACTTCACCAAACCGTTCGTCTCCCACATACCTTCAAACCCTTCGTGAGAGGAACTGCGAACGTCCCTTGAGTCGGTCAACAGCAGCGAACGCTTTTGTGGAGAGCGCAAGAAGGCGCGACCACATCCCGCTTCCCTCATTACGTGGACCCTAGAATCCCTAGAAGGACACTTGTGGTCGAGGCGGACGCAAAAAGCACCGGAACCTGGGAGAAAGGTCCTGGTATAGGTGATCCAACTCTGGTATAGCAGAAAAAAGGCTCCCACGTCCTCCAAACCACCAGTGCAACAATCAGAAATGGTATCACCAAGGGCAAAGGTGTTGAAAGATCCTCACCAGAGACGGAAGCAGTTGGAGCTTCTTCAAAAGGGAGCCCCATTGATGCATTCCCCTTCTGTGCGGGGTGTGTGCGGGATGAACCACGTGCCAACCTGTACTTCCACAAGCCGGGATGTTCTTAAGCTGACGGGTTTGGACGCCTCTGTGCGGAATGGAGGCCATGTGGTACCCCGATGGAATGATCCACACATCAGCCTCAAACACATCAGATCCACCGGCACCGTCTGCCGGCTGAAAAGGGGCACTGCAAAGGCGATGTAGAGGGCAAAGATCTCAGAGGCGTGACATGTGGGGGACATGGGGCGTGGAGCACACCGAATTCAACTGCTGTCTGGATCGAAAAAAATAAAAACGGCTGACCTGGGCATATAGATCAGTTTTGAGTTGTTTTTCCACACATGTCTATCCCTGTGATCTGATGGTTAACTCCGCCCGTGCGAGATCCTGAATAGAAAGAAAGTCCAATACATCTGTGTTCCAATATTATGCATATTTAAAATGGACAACTTGTTATATATATATATATATCGGGTGCAACTGTATCAGACCCCAAGATTCTCCTCACTGAACAAACATCATCTAGACAATGGAAGCATTCGATCTTGCAAAGATGTCGCTGGCTCCATCATATGGCTACCAAACATACGATCTTTTTCCGAGCCGCGTCCTTTCTTTGGAACCCGGGGGCTTCTCTTTTTTCCCTGTGGAAGGACTCGTCTCCCTCGATCATCCGGTCAGATCGCAGGTGAGCATGGCTGTCTGTTGGCTGGGTTAGGCTCCCAGGCCAAGGACATGATTGGGGAGATGGGCTCCAAGGGCAAGCTCAAGTCATTCCAATCCACTCCGCCGGTCATGGCCTGGACGGGGAATCGTGGTGTCAAGGAGCTGAAGGACACCGTATCACAAGCTTGAGGGTGGTTGAGGGCAGTGCCCTCAATGTCCAAAAGCTGTCGTTTCATGGAAAAAAAGAAACACCCGCATCGTCCAAGAGGTCCTGGGTTCACGAGAGAGAGAGAGAGAG